AGAGTATTTCTCTCTCTCTGTGTGTGTGTGTGTGTGTGTGTGTGTGTGTGTGTGTGTGTGTGTGTGTGTGTGTGTGTGTGTGTGTGTGTGTGTGTGTGTGTGTGTGTGTGTGTGTGTGTGTGTGTGTGTGTGTGTGTGTGTGTGTGTGTGTGTGTGTGTGTGTGTGTGTGTGAAGACTTTTAAAGATTTACTGTGTGAGATAATTTAAAAATTCACTGTGGAAGCGTCAAAAAATTATTCTGTATACAGATTTCTAATTATCCCCAGTTTATGTGTGTGTACATTGAGTGCATTTGCTGGGAGTGAAAGTGTTGTTAAATGTCATGTAGGGGAGGAGGGTCATGCCAGCTGCACGACACTGACGCGCCACCCATACCAAATATCAGCAGACGACAAGAGTCTGTGTGTTTGTGAAGGGGTGTGTGTTTGTGTGTGTTTGTGTCCGCACGTGTATAAATAACAATATAATATAAATTTATTGAAATGTATATCATTTTAAATATTATGAATATATATATATATATATATATATATATATATATATATATAATTATAAATAATAATGGAATAAAAATAAAAACATTTCAATATAATTTTTAAATGTAGTTATCCTAACTGTTCATTTTTTTAAATCTACATATATGTATTTAACATAAATGTAATGTTATGAAAATAAATATGAATATATATAAAACTGAATTAAACATTTACAATATATAATGTATATTTGTAATAATTAACATTGAAAATAGTATTAAATATAAATATTTGACTTATTCTGTTATAACTTTGATATAATATTATCATAACAATTAAAAATTAAAATGAATCTGAATTATTTGTATCTATCTGTCTGTCTGTCTACATGTCTGTCTGTCTAATACATAGCCTAAATCATTGGTATGATATTAAATATAAATAGCAGACAGTATAAATAAGTATATATAGTATATAATTTCACAAATAACAAAAGTGAAAAAAGGCTGCTGAAGGTTCGGTTACATAAAATCATTTCTGTTCCCTTTATTGTTTCACACAACTTCAGTGAGACATCATTATGACATCTAGTGGAGATTGTAAGAAATAACAATTATTTTTACCAATAATTATTTGTGATTCAGAACACCATTTAACTAAAATTAAGTTGACACACTTTTGTGTCACATAATAAGTCTCCCTTTCTCATCTCAATTTGCAAAATTTCAACATTCTGACCTTGTGCAGCCTAACATCACAATGCAACAATGGTTAACCAGTGCTCACCAGTGTATTTGCATTTTCATAACAGATTCAGTCCATATGTGACCAAAAAAATATTAACCTGAATGTTGCAGTGTTGCTTTGACAAAATAAGTTAAACAAGTGTGTCAGTTACATCTTCTTTTGCTCAAGAGTTATCAAAGCCATAATCTGTTAATCTGTGGATAAATACTGAAAAGCTTTCAAACTATTTTCCACCACTAAATGTGTATGGATTAATTGCCCCTTTGTGTGTTTTAGTACAGCAGTTGATGCCAAAATTGCAAGGCAAACGCAGAATGAAATATCTGATTACAACAGGGCGATGCATTAATAATAATTATGGATTTGACAAATTGCAGCCTCTGTTAGACAATCATTTTGCAATCAATTTTATTTGGCCCCTGAATGCTTTAGGAGGCGTCAGATATCGTGCTGATGAGATGAATGAGGCCTCGTACTTTTACGCAACTGAGGCGGCTAAATACCGAAAGGCACCTCAGATCTCCATAATCACAAAGTACATCCTGCAATTCAGTGTTGAAAATTAACATGTCTTCATTCAGAATGTCAAACGTGTTTGAGGTCTTAGTCTACAATTACCTTCTAATAAGTCACGTTTTGGGTTAGGTTTACTTAAAAAAGGAAGTGAGAAAACACTTAAATGTGTTAATCAATGTCCATTATAAAAACACACACCTGCCATCAGCTTCCTGTCCTCTAAGATCTAAGACAGACATTTCGTGTGCTCCCCCAATCATGTCTCTCTCTGTTTGGTCACATAGCATTACATTCTATTGTTATCTAAATCAATCAGATTTGTTAAAGAAGAAATCCGCATATGTATGTGTGAACATGACTCGTGATGAACGTTTGAAAATAGTTGCATGGATCGGATGTTGACAGCCACTGAAATGTTTTTGTTGCAAGGAAAATGTGCAAACTCCCAAAATGGGTGCCCGAAAGGTTAGACAGCCCTTATGTGGCTTTTATGCTTAATATGCTCTTTTTCTCACTGTAAAAATCCCAATGTAAACTTTACAGGTTCCCACAATAGCTTTAGCTCTATTTTTTGCTCAAAACAAGTTCAAATCTCAGATCAGTTAGTTTCTTGTTCGCATCAGATTGAAATTTCTTATTAATTAAAGAGCCCCTATCATAGCATTTGAAATGTTCCTATTTTTGTTTTGGGTGTTCCCAAAAACAGTTTAACGTGCATGCAAGGATAAAAAAAACACTTTATTTGTCTTATAATATCCATTTATTTTTACCTGATTTGCTCAACGACTCCCAAATGATTCGTTCGATGAACACCTCCTTTGAGTGACGCGAATTTGCGGCGATTGGTCAAATGACCCAGTCAGTTGTTATTGGTAAACCGTAGGCAGAGACTGTCAGCAACGGAACGTCCATAACCAGGATTATAGTTTGTCAAGTGTTGAAAATTGTATATAGTGTTTCAACAAACATGTCAGAAAAAGTGCACTTTCCACAAGGTCCCTTACTCGCTGATTCGTCATTAAAATGATGAGAACACAAGGTTCGGGCTATACTGTTGTGGTATAGTTGCAAATATGAACTCTAACCACTGATTCTTCACATGCTCGTCCCTGGACAATGAAAACTAGTGGCTGAACTGTCTTTGCAATGTAGAACACAGCGTCTTCTCGACATGATGCGATTCAGCTGAAGTATTTGAATATGTTCTAGACTTCAAGTTTACACTTCCGTCTGCGCGCGCAGTTGTTGGGAGCGGCCAATGAGGTAATGTTTCGTATCTACGTCACGATGTAACAGTTAATGACTCGTTTCAAAAAGAATTCATTTCATAGACTCAGAATCGACTCTCACTTTTGAAAGACAACTTTATATACGGTGCACTTTCAGATATAAATCTTTGCAGGATGTTTTCATTCCCTTAGAGCTATAGTCCACACTACATGAACAGACATTTTCAAAAATCCATGATAGGCGCTCTTTAACAGTTCCCACATGAGCGATTTTTATAGATTATCATAATAGAGTATGCTAATCAAAGACTTGAAGAGTAAACTCCACATCAGCAGCATTCATCATCTAACCATTCAGAAACATCCTGTTGTTTCCATGTTGTCACTTCTACTAGAGTCTCTCCATCATTGTACGACTCCGGTTTGAACATAATAGGCAGAACAGTTTCTGACATTTTAGTGCTTGTCTGCGTGAGGTAATCGGCAGTGTTGTAGTCGAGACCACCTCACACACACACACTCTGGGGACAGAAAGTTATTTCACATATTGTAAAAAGGAGCATTATAGCATTAGGTCCATATAACCTTGTGAGTCCTTGAATGTACTTGAAGGTGTCTGTAATATTTATACTATGTAAAATATGTACAGTAAATTGTACAGTCTTTAAAACTATACAAAAATAATTATAATATGGTTTAAAAATATATTTATATTATACATTTCTATTTTTAATGTGGTTAATCTGTTATATGACTATATTCGAGTTTAAAAATACAAAATGTTATTTTATATACATGAAACAAAATATGAAAAAAGATTCATATACATAATTAAACATGACTAAATGTGTATCTATAACATAACCTTATATAAATTAACCATTAACATAAAGTAATATATCTTCTTATGTGCTTTGCAGAAGATAGAAGGCCAAAAAGTTTTGGGACGAGTATGATGAGGGTTTTTGAGGGTGAGTAAATGATGACAGAATTTTCATTATTCATTCATTCAGGCACATATTAAGGCCTTCACAGGACCTGTATGCAGAAGTTTTGACATTTCACAAAACGTCTTAGGATGAGTTCATAGGCCATTGTTTAACAAGTACTATATGAGTAACACTTTGTGAATGTACAAAGCTAATAATTGCCATTGTCTTTTCGGATAATTTTGTTGAATAAAATCGAATCAGTGACAGCCTTGTAGCATGCATTGATTCTAAATTGAAGAGCCATAATAAAGCATTTAAAGGAGTAGTTCACTTTAAAAAAAAAAAAAAAAAAAAATGCTGATAATTTACTCACCCCCATGTCATCCAAGATGTTCATGTCTTGTCTTTCTTCAGTAGAAAAGAAATGATTTTTTTTTTATGAAAACATTCCAGGATAATTTACTCTACTGGTTATATGGAGAAAAATCCTGGAATGTTTTCATAAAAAAAATAATTAATTTCTTTTCGAAATAATTATGTGAACTACTCCTTTAAAACCAACCTTTAGAAATGCTCTTTTAGGAGTTCTTTGCTGGTGAATGTTTAGATGATGCTGATTAAATACGAGTGGTCCAGGCAGTTGAATGCTCGAATCTGATTGGTTGATGAGACAAGCACGGCTAATGTAGTTCCAGCTGGTCTTGACCGCATTACAGTTCCATATCACTTCGCCAAATGATTTTATTTCAAAGGATTTTTCCAGCCGACAACAGCAAAAAACAACAACAACAACAACAAAAAAGATCAATTTGGCACAAAATTACGTTTTATTGTGTAGGCTACGGACAGGAGATTCTTTTCCCCCCTCTCTCTTTCCCATTTAAACCCCACCCGTGGGGTAAAACGACACTGTTTGAGCAGATAAACGTACTGTCTCTCTCTGTAGCCTAATAACTGCATCATTGTCCGTTCAGTAGGCTACTCCGTTACTCTAAAATGATTTTTTTTGGAATTTAGCAACGGAGAAATTACATTATATTCGTCCTACAAACAAGCTTTTTAAGCAAAAAATAAACTCACAAGTGTCTTAATGCATAATCTGAACAATATTCAGGTGTGGTAACCGTAGCCTAAGTGGAATAATTGATTCCAGCCTAATTTTTCAACTGACCGTCGTCAATCCAAGCCGTATCACATTCTTACCCACGACACTGTGAGGACCAAAATCATTTACAGTTTAACTGAAAATCATTGACCGTTTCGAATAGCTCTGTTGAAAGGTGATTTTTAGACATTAACTTCAGAATCATCAGGTTCATGAAATGGGAGGAGTGAACGAATATAAATGTGGGGAATGATCTTCTACTCTGACATCTTTCTATAAGAAAAATAGATGGTTTGAATCCCACCGACAGGAACATCCACACACCAGTACAGCTGTCAGAGGAATAGATTGGTGATTTTCACGCTATGTTAATTGAGGAGCGTATATTAACACTTTTCCGTAGGAACTGTCAACATACACTGACATACTGGAGTGTGTTCTTTAGCTTTGGACTGAGCATCGCCTTCCTGGGGCCTACGATCATAGATCTGAAATGCCAGACAGGCTCCACGTTACAGGAGATCACCTGGGTGTTCTTCTCCCAGCAGATCTGCCTGCTCATCGGCAGCTCGGCTGGAGGACTTTTCACAAAAACGTGAGTAGAGAAGCGAGTGTGTCTCTGCTGGTAAATGTCCGACAGTAAATGGCTGTCAGATTCCGAGTCTATTTGCCTGGGGAGTTTATGCACTTTTTTTCTGGTAATTTTCTACCTTTTCAAAGTGCTTGCTCCTTCCCATGTGAATCTCAGATGTTGGTTAGCCTTTTAGAATTGCCATTTGTTGTTTGACACAGATGTATTGCAACTTGTATATTGTATACATTTTACAGATTTCAAAATATATTTATATGTTTTAAATATGGTTAATCTGTTAATATATGTTAAACAAAAAAGATTTGATATATAAAAAATATGAAACAAATGTCAACAAAAATCATGTTAAATATTGTATAGCTTTAAAGACAAATCTATTTATTTTATGGACGTACTTCAATATTTCAGATTAAAAACTGTGACGATAATTGTGATTATATATTAATATAGCTATGAAATAACAATACTTATTACTTAATAAAAATATAAAAACGAGTAAAAGATTATTTCAATAATCTAAGTAAAAAATATTATTTTATTCTAAAAAATGATAATGCCAAAATGTGTGGATGTCTTAATATATTTAAAACGTTATTTTGATGAAAAAAGCAGGGAGCCCATGCTTAAAGCTTCTCTTTTGTTCATAATGCTCATTACAATTACAAGTTTGTGAAAATGGCTGGCACATCCCGAACGCTTGTTATTTACATTTATTCATTTAGCTGACACTTCACTTACAATGCTATATATGTCAGAGGTCGCACACCTCTGGAGTAACTAGGGGTTAAGTGTCTTCCTCAGGGTCACATTGGTGTCTCACAGTGGATTCGAACCCGGGTCGCTCACACCAAAGGCATGTGTCACATCCACTGCGCCATCACCACCACCAGCAAATGCAGAGATGTACTCGATAGTTCATGTGGAGCAGCATTTACTGCAAAACGAGCCGCTTTGAGATAATAAATAATAAAATTGATATTAAAAAATAATAAAAGAGCACAGTGCCATGTGTCACTCTGAAACTTGTAGAGCTTTTTTTCCCAATTGATCGTGCAACTTACTGTCAGACACATGAAAGCACATAAAACATACAATTTAAGACTGCCCTTGAAGTTCTAAGAAACATCATGTTTTGGAACATCAATTTGTGAGGTCACTTGATAGCTATTACACATCTTAACCATTAGCATTTGTAATTGGAAGAATTAAAAATATATACATAAAGTGGGAAAATGTACAAATAATCAAGCAACCAAGCTGTTTTCCTTGTCTTCTCAGGTTGTTCGGTGCTCTCATCGCTCTGTTTTTCTCCTCCCTCATCATCTCTGTGGTTTTTGCTATCATCCCACTTTGCTATAATGTGCTGTTGCTGGCGGTTGCTATGGCAGTGTCAGGCCTGGCTATGGGCATCATCGACACTATAGCAAACTTCAGACTGGTGTCTATGTATAAGAAAGACTCTGCTATCTTTCTGCAGGTGAGTGAAGACATTTTATATACTGTATATATCACTCAGGGTCAGAGAGGTGTTGACCTACTCTATACATACATTTATGTACAGTAGTGTTTATTTCAAATAATCATATCCGTGTTTTATTTGAATCAGTTGTTGGTCAGATGGAAAAGAATGTAAGTCAATAGGAACTACATCGGCTTAAAAGAACATTTGGTTTCTTATTTTTACTTTTGTATTTTTTGGGGGGTGGATCTGACCTGGACATTTTGTGAGATTCACTCTAGTATTCATTCTGTGCTGGCTGCTTTAGCTAAGTGTGGTTTGGATAGGGACATAAATAAATGAAGGATTTATTGATGTATAATCTGTTGTACTCTAAATTGTGTTTCCCATCAGTGTCTTCACTCTCTTTCCAGGCACTGCACTTCTTCATTGGGCTCGGCGCTCTGGTGAGCCCCCTGATTGCAGAGCCTTTCATATCAGAGCACTGCATGGGCAGTAATAGCACAGAAAATGCCACAGAGACACTTCGCCACTTCAGATCCAGCGACAGGTCACCTGCAATCCTTGACGAGCATTCCCTGCACTCTGAGCTAGTCGAGGAGAAGGCCAGTGTGTCATACGCCTTCTGGATCATGGCTGTCATAAATGTAAGCTGATGATCAGCAGCTCTGTGTGCAGGAGAGCCTGGATCTCTGTGACATCTCAGTCTTTTTCTCTCCTAGTTGCCTGTGCCGATTGCAGTTTTTGTGTTGATGTACAAAGAGAAGCTGCTTCGCTGTTGTACGAGCAGCCCTCCACGACTGCTGGACAAAGATGAGTTAGCCATGGAGACTAAAGCACCAGAAATCACAGAAATGCCTGAACCATACGACGCAGGTACAAGTGATCTTTGAACTACACTAACATTCAGAACTTTATGGACGGTAGGATTTTTTGTAAGAACTATTTTTTGCTCAAGGTTGCATTTATTTAATTAAAAAAATGGTCAAATTTAATTTATTCCTGCAATCAAAGCTGAATTTTCAGCATCATTACTCCTGTCCTCAGTCACACAGTCCTTCAGAAATCATTCTGATATGCAGATTTGCATAAAACATTTTAAAAGATTTTCTTCAAGATTAATTGATTAATAGAAATTTCAAAAGAACGGCATTTATTTGAAATAGATTATAAATGATATAGATTATAAAATATATTTTTAAAATAATAATAGATTATAAAATATATTTTTTGCTCAAGGTTGCATTTATTTAATAAAAAAAATAGTCAAATTTTATTTATTCCTGCGATCAAAGCTGAATTTTCAGCATCATTACTCCTGTCCTCAGTCACACAGTCCTTCAGAAATCATTCTGAAATGCAGATTTGCATAAAACATTTTAAAACATTTTCTTCAAGATTAATTGATTAATAGAAATTTCAAAAGAACGGCATTTTTTTAAAATAGATTATAAATGTCTTTTTTTAAATCAAGTTAATGCATTTTTGCTTAATAAAAGTAAAAAATTCTTTTTGTTTTTCAATGTTTCACTTTTTTTCTTCTTATTCTGGTGTCCTCAGATTTACATCATTCAGGACATGGGAACATTTTCAGCTGCTGCATGAATAGTAACCTGCGTGGGTTACCGGTCACTTTTTTTGTTATCCATATCTTGGGTGGAATGGTGCTGTTTATGACAGAGGGCATTATGGTGAGAAAGCTCAATGAGGCTAATTATTTTTATGAAATTTTTTTTAGAACTGCAAGTTATTTCACACTTGACCCTTTAACCTCACCTTTAGGGGGTCTATGCCGGCTTTGTTTACACGTATGCTGTTTCAGCTCCCATTTCACTGCACGCTAAAATGGCAGGATACCTGAACAGTATCTTCTGGGCGGCCGTCACAGCTGGACGACTGGTGTCTGTCCCGCTATCGTACCGCTTCAGGCCAGTGCATCTGCTCATCGTGAACCTGGTAATCTATAATTAACATACATGGAGCTGATTTTCACCGTTTACAGAGTATATACCACCCAAACTACCTATAAGTTGTTTCCTTCATGCTCCATTCAAGCTGTTGCTATCAGTTGTTAGAAATATTGAGTGTGTGATGAATCATAGATTTGTGATTGTTAAATTTGGATCCTCTCTGCTCTGCTCTCTCTCTCTCTTGTTAAGGCTGGTGTGAATGTAACATTGCTGCTGTTACTGATCCTTTACACAAATAGAGTGTTTCTGTTTGTTGGGACGACCTTGCTCGGGCTTTTCATCAGCAGTGTTTTCCCCTGCATAGTGGCCTACACTGAGGACATCCTAAACTACCGTGGTAAACTGCACACAGCATACGTTTCATATCACAGCCACTTCAATTGTTCTCATGTTCTATATTCCATAATAATAATTATATAAATTCTAAGTAATTCTGATCATCTAAATATTAAATACTAATTAAATGGGGACTTTAAGAATATTTTAAGAGATCCCTAAAATAATAGACAATTTTTTTTTTCTTCAGGATGTGCAACAACACTTTTAGTGACAACTTCCGGAATGGGTGAGATGACGTTGCAAGTGTTGGTTGGATCAGTAAGTTCTTTCACTCATGTTTTAAGTCCTGGGAAGGATTTTCTTAAAAAGTAAATAACCCTGAACAAATTTCTTCCAGCTTATTCAGAAACAAGGCAGCTACAGTTTTTTGGTATGTGGTATGGTCATCGGATGCCTTGGTTTCATCTTCCTCTTTAGCGTGATCCTGTGCAACAGCATCCACAGAAATCTCACAGGTAAAAACAACGTACATTGTGATAAACAGTATTTATATCAGTAGTTACATATGTAACTTAAAGGGATACTCCACTTTTTTTGAAGATAGGCTCATTTTACAACTCCCCTAGAGTTAAACAGTCCAGTTTTATCGTTTTCGAATCCATTCAGCCGATTTTTTGATATTTAGAAGAATATCAATAACCAGACAGTTTCTGGTCTCATTGACTTCCATAGTATATTTTTGTCCTACTATGGAAGTCAATGAGACCAGAAACTGTCTACTTCTAAATATCAGAAAATCGGCTGAATGGATTCGAAAATGGTAAAACTCAACTGTTTAACTCTGGGGGGGTTGTAAAATGAGCCTATTTCCAAAAAAAGTGGAGTGACCCTTATGTAAACTGAGCAACATTATATGACTCAATGTCTTCACCATCCAGGAGCATCTAAAAAAGCAGCACCCGCTCCACCTGCTTCAGAGAAAGTTGCTCCAGAACAGAAAGTTGCTGTTATACAGCCTGAATCAATTAAATGTGACTCTGGATGAAACCATTGACAGGTCGCAACCTGCTGGAAATACTTGACAACTGTAAACAGTGAATGTGCTTTTATCATATTTCTGATATTTGTGTAAAAAACAACAGAAAACCCTACAGTGATGCAATATGTTTTATGTATAAGTTTGGTATTTTATATATATATATATATATATATATATATATATATATATAGTTTATTTGTTTAGTTTCTTGCAAATAATCTTGACTGAACAGGAAGAGAAGACAAATGTGAGATGTATGATTACAGGAGGGGAACTAAGTCATTTATGGCTCATTAAAATGGATAAATATAAAGTTTTGAGCTTTACCTAAGACTGAAAATTATTAACACCAAATTAAATGAATAATTCACCAATCCAAGAATTCCAAGAACTTCCTTATTTCTTCAAAACTATTTTTATCTTGTTAAAAATGGTCTTAGGCTGGAAGGTCATGGCCAGAATATTGTACTGGTTATTCACTTTGGTGTTTATTTGAAAAATTCACGACTAACGCAAAAAGATATTTGCAGTAATATTGCAATAAATTATTGTTTACCGTGTCAAGAGACGAACACAAACTTTGTGTTCTGCCAAAATAAATGTGCAGAAGATGTCTTTATTTTGTTGTGTTATTTAGTTAAAATATTCTTTAAAATACCCTTTTATGTTAATGACATGAGGCAAGGGTGAGTAAATGATGACTGAATTAGCACTTTTGGGTGAAAAATCCTAAAATTGCTGTCATCATAAAGTTGCAATCAAGTTTTTCAAAATATCACTGGTGAAAAGGTCCGTTTAGCTAAAGTATTGGTTATAAAAGACAGCATGGAGTATCAATGTACTGTACCAACGTGAGAGATTAATCTTCAAACCATACAAACTTACAACATACAAAAAGGGGGCAAGTAAATTAGTATATGATGTCATTTCCATTACAGTCTATCAAACCAAGAAGATGCGCTGTAAAAGTGAAAAACAGGCCAACTACTGGATTTCTTTAAAGATACATTTTATTTTTCCTTGTAAAACAAATTTTTACAAAAATCAGAATAGCGTAATTAAAACAAACATTTATTTTGGATAAATTATGATATAGACTGAAAGGCTACAGGTTAGGATGGAGATACACGCGATAAAAATAGTCTTATGAAGCTGAGAAAGCTATGAATGGTGTGCACTGAATTCAGCTCGTTTTTACCATTCTAATGGCTCGACGGACTGCATTTAAAAAGGCATCTATAAGCATCAAAATATTCTTAAAAAATGCACACATGAAGCATCACAGAGGTCAATAATAAGGTTTTCACTAGCTCACTTCTGACATCGCTCACCCCGAGCCCGAGACTCCGCCCACCGACGTACATGAAAGCATGCCAACCATGAAAGAGGTTCAATACAACCATAGAAAAATTCATCTTAGTTCAAATGCTCAGACGGGAATAAGCTGATTTACTAGACTGAATCAAGAAACAACTGCACGGAAAGTGGGAGAAAGTAGCGTACTAGAGCTATGTAACGTACAGTTGATGTAGCAAGGAAAATCACGTGACTGAACTGCAGCCACAACAATCCAGTGCAGTTCATGACGACAAGCGTATATGTTCATTATAAGCCTGTTTTCAACGGTCAATGCCGCTGGGATGAGATCGTGTACAGTAAAAGTCACAAAAATGTGTTTGTTTAGGAGTAAACGAGCAGTTACGTTTCTTCTTCAAATGCGTTTTTTTTTTTTTTTAAATGAAGGTGCCCATAAAGTGAAGTACAGAGCCTACAGTATAATCTGTATTTTTTGGACACGTCATTTTCATCCTTTGTTATAACAAAACGGTTTCGGCAAATACGTTGCAAAGCTATAATTGAAACATTGATTAGTGATTACTATGAAAGACCGCATTTTGGGATAAGGCCAAACCGTACAGTTTTAGAATAGCTCTGATGATACTTTACAGATTTCGTTCGGAGATATGGTATTTACAAGCTGAGAGACATAACAAACATCCAAAACACTCTTTGAGTATCGTGGGAAATAAATTCTACTGCTCCTCATTAAGAAAAACAGATAACAGACACGTTCACCAGCAGGCGAAAGAGCTCAGTCTTCACCTGATGGAGCTTCCTCCTCAGAAACATCGTCTTTTTCCTCTTTCTCTTTCTCATTCTCTTTCTCCTCCTCCTCCTCTTCCTCCTTTTCTCCGTTGTCATTGTTTTCCTCCCCTTCTGCGCCACTTTCGTCATCCTGCGTCTTCTTCGGGGCGGGCGACTCTTTCCCGTCTTCCTTTTTTGCCTCGTCCTCTTCCTCCTCCTCCTTGTTGCTCTCGATATCTTCATCTTTGGCTTTAGGCGAGGCCTTTTTCACAACTCTCTTAACCTTCGTCTGACGTTTTCCTCTCCTCTTCTTGGGCCCTCGGGTCACTGGGAGAAGATAATTGACTTAATTACTGTAACTGTGACAGGTGAAGGTGTCTAGAGGTAGTTTGTAATTAATTATCAAGTGATTAGTGATTAATTACCAAGGTATTACAGTAGACGTTTTGTTTTTTTTGCAGACATAATCTGATAGTAGGATTATGGGTGGCTTTACCTGAAGCCCTTAGCTTGGGTTTAGGCGATTTCTTGTCTTTGCTTCTCCTGGTCACTTTTGAGATCTTCCGTTTGGGTCGGCCATAATCACTGTCGTCATCATCGTCCTCAACCATAAAGTCCTCATCGCTGCCTGAGTCCTCTATGAGCAGATGAGGGAAGTAAAAAACATCAGGTATCTCACGGTTAGCTAACGTGCCAATGGCAATTTTCTTGAAATAGTTTGACTCTGACATAATACTGTTTGTACCGCCAGTGTAAACGTCACTGTCATCTTCTTCCTCCTCTTCCCCTCCTTCCTCATCCTCACTTCCTCCGTCCCCAAGAAGAATCTCCCTCTGTTTGGACGCAGCTTTAGTGGCAGCCTGACGCACCTGCCGACCCTTCTTCTTCACAACTTTTACCTCATCGTCACTGTCATCTGTGTGTCAAAAGAGCAGGTACATGGTTAATTAACACAAGGTTTGTTAAAATGCATAAACACTAAATCACAACACGGGCATGAAAAAAAAATCGACTGCGTTTTTTCTTAAGTGAATAGGAGCAAGTTGATTAGCAGATGAGAGCAGATTCACATAGTAAAAAGGAACAAAAGAATACAATTCATTAATAGCAGAAAAGAACATGAAGAAGAACACAAAACTGAAAGACTATTATACACATGTTTATATGTTGTTTATATATTTATTTTATATATATATATATGTATATATATATATATATATTGTAGAAATTAAACTGGAATCCCAATTTGAGTTAGTGTGCACTGTGAGGCACTAAAAAAGCATTAAAGCACTGCGAAACATCTAACATCTTCCCAAACTACATTATCATAAATATAGTTTATTATTATGAAAATACCCGAGATGCCTTGAAGAACTCGAATACACCATATATTGCGGCAGTCGTGTGTTTATTTTCTTTGTGTTTAATAAGTAAGTGTTTCTAACTTCTTCTTTTTATTCAACTATAATAGCTTGATGCATTTGTCCACATTAGGGATTTCATGAAACATAAGTTATATTATTTCTGTAAGGCATATTTGGAGTTTCCTTCCAGCTTCCAGTATGAATTAGCACTCACACGCTCAGCAATGCTCAGTCCACCATATTTTGTGTAAAAAAAATGATGAACAGATTCTTTTTAGGCTTTTTCACATATAAACATTGATCAGTGAACATACTATGGAGCACTCAAATATGATGCCATGAGTAATTGACTAAACTCTTATACACTACCAGTAAAATGTTTGACCACACTTCACTGAAAATATATCCCATGATTTTGGATGTCAAAATATTTAATATATTACATTATGAATTGCCAACATATGCCATTGTTGTTATACATATTGTGCATTTATTTTTTTAAAAGGTAAAATGCCAAACATGCACAGAAAGTAGTTGTCAGACGTAACTGAATGACTATGTAATGAAGTGTTTATACTGGTAATACCTGCAGCCCTTTTCCGTTTAGCTGTTGCTTGTCTCCCCTTGCTGGCCTCTTTAGCATCAAAATCACTGTCACCACCATCATCATCCTCTTCCTCATCCTCCCCATAGTCATTGTCATTGTCATCATCACTTAAATCCTCTGGAATATTGGGATAGAAAAACATTTTGTCAGAATGTTTAATAACTGAATAAAAAAAGAATCAATATAAAATAATTCGAAATAAATTTAAATAGAAGCAAAAATAAGTTAAAAAAATTGACTTACTCTTGTGATCCTTGATTCGAGAATCATCACTACATAGGAAGAAATACAGCAATATATAAAATAATTCAGACAAAATACACAGCCTTCATGAATTTAAACAAATAGTGTAATGAATATGTATGGAGCTCATAAATAATTTTAGAAATGAAGGAAGCTAAAATAAACACATGAAAACTTGAGAGTGGTGTTTAAAGGGTTAGTTCACCCAAAAAAGAAAATTCTGTCATTAATTAAGGAGAGCTCTAAGATATCAAAAAATAAAAAATAAATAAAAAAATCTTCATTTGTGTTCCGAAGATTAACAAAAGTCTTACAGGTTTGGAACGACATAAAAGTGAGTAATTAATGACAGAGTTTTCATTTTGGGGTTAACCATCCCTTTAAACTCAAATATTACTTTTACAACCAGAAATGTATTAGTTTTGCTATCATTACGTTCTTAGTTACTACATATGTACTAAAAAATATAACGAATCAGAGAAACTTACCTGCGTTTTACAGATGTTTTCTCAGGTCGTTCCGATTCTTTTGCATATTCCTCATCTGTATCAAATCATTCAGGTTATTAGCTTATATATCAAATCATCAGGTTATAAAACAGCATGACTTCACAGCACACTGAATCTAATAAAGTAGTAATGCAGCACATTGACATTATCTAACCCTAGAGAAGATCTTTTTCCATTATTATTATTATTATTTATAATAACTTCCATTACTTTTCCAACCCTGGAAGAAAACACTTTCACTTTCCCCGCCTTATATTTCATGACTGTGGGAAAACCATGTTAAGTGGGACACAATAGTGAGGTGTGCAACAGGATATTTGCATTGGAGGAATTTACCTGCATCGTCAGACTCTTGGAATTGTGCATAGTCAACCACCCTTTTATTCCTGTGCACGAAGAACAGGAAAGGAAATATAAATGACCAATAATATAAATCCACAAGGACAAACATGTATGCAATATGTTTAAAAATCATGTATTACTAGTCACAACACAATGAAATAAAAATGTACTATTCTTATTTTGTTATTAATATTGCACTATTTATAGATTATAAATCATACAGCAAATTATATGCTATTATCCTCCCTCTTCTTTGATGACGAGGACGGGATCAACCTTTCACTCACATGACAACAAAACGATAGCGAACCACAACCATCCAATCAACTCCAGATGGACAAAAATCAAGTCCTGCTCTACTTTTATTCTTGTTTGAGAAGCAGTTTCACTCGTATTTGCATCACAATAGGGAAGAAAAGACTAAAGCAACTTCCGATTCATACCAACTTTAAAACTTCGACCTATATTTGAAGAGTTCAGGTGCAAAAGCCTCTAAGTGCCATTTGAAATTTTCTTCTAAAATGATCATTTTTATCAAGCTTGTATATTTAAGTTCAGTAATTTCACTTAAATGGCAATGAAGATAACCTATTAATTGTCATTTAAGTGGAATTACTGAACTTAAATATACAAGCTTGATAAAAATGGTCATTTTAGAAGAAAATTTCAAATGGCATTTAGAGGCTTTTGCATCTGAACTCTTCATTTATTAATATCTTATTGCACCGTTAATGAATTTATTGCAATGTTAATGAATTTAGATGCTTTGATTCTTAAATTGCAAAAAAAGAAGATAAATAATATAAAATATAAAAATATATAACATTTATCAACTTAAAAAAAGACATGCAAAAAATTATCAATACAAAAAAAAAAAGAAACCTGACCTGAATGCAGCAGAACTTCTCTTTAGGCTAACAAAAACGAAATCATATAAATCTAAAAATAAATAAATGGTTGCAGATTTTCTGATTCATTCTCCATATGGCAACAGAGTTGTCACTGCTCTTATTTAAAGCAGTGAAGGGGCAGAGGAGCCAGGGGTGCCATGTTGGAGCAGGTTAATTGCCATGCCAACAGCAGCAGTGTGGGGAGGAGGGAGGGACTGTTTGTTCAGATAGGGGCATTGAACTACAGGCCCTGCAGGTCAGACAGTATTCACTGACCACAGGACCTCATCAGTCCATAAATGACACCGACGAGACCAACATTCACTGCCTGCTCCGAGAGGGTTGCATATTAAATAAAAGAACCCGGTTTACTGTTTGACAGATGATAAGCAACACGTTGCCACTGTTCACGTCACTTGGCTTGAGCTCGGGGGTTCATATCGGTTCATTTCAACGCTACGAAATCAACAAGGGCGCATTTAAATACATTTATCGCGAAACGCAAACACATTTGTTGACTTCCCACTTAGGAGCCTTAATTCCTGACTGAAACCAGATCCAAACCAAATGTGCATTAACTACAAACACAAGTTTGCAGGAGAAATGGTTCAAGTCGTGTGTGTGAGAAATAATGGCGCGCGTTCACGCTCAAACACGCTGCCGCTATAAACTAACATCAATGCTCGCGGGCTAACTGAGGAAAATACGCTAAACTTCCTAAATACGTTACATAGTGTGTCACATTTACTATGAATTACGAAATAATCATAAAGCTATTTATTTGCTTTTTGTATGATAATGCCTAACGTTAGCTGCCTGGTTTTGAACACGAATTCCCCAGCAGTGAAAACTACTATCCCGCTTTTTTATTTAATGCTGGCCGCATGAGGTTAACATAGGCAACGTTACGTTTAGGGATGTAACGAACGACACTGTCATGTTTTTAATGAATTAATATTCGTAAAAATATAAAAAGACGAAAATCTACGTGTTTAGGTGTGATTTGTGCTGTTTAGGCGAGCTAGTATGTAAACACGCGCAGAAAATGCTGGTTAGCCAGTTAGCATTTAGCAACATGGAGAGACCCACACACCGATCACACATCATGTGCGAACCTGTGAAGCAACAGAGACTAATAAAACGCACTTACCTTGAAGGTCTCGCCATTCTGCAGACAGATTGAGAGACTTCTGTTTGTCCAAACTACAATTTTATTTGTAAACCCAGGTGCTGTCTTGCAGTGCAGGCTTTTTGCAGCTAAAATCCAGGTGTCTCTCCTGATGCTGGGAAGCGCTTTCTGTAGCACGGAGCTGTACGAAACTACCTAGATGCAATGCAAACTGCACTAAAAGACGCGCAAATGTGTGCGATCTAGAGCATCTGCTCGCACGCCGCGTTGGTCTGTGTGGGTAGAAAATGGAGAAATGTTGAAGTTGATCCACAGGCCGGATTGACCTGGTTAAGCCTGCTGTCGTATTGTAGCTAACTAATTAGCCACTGCCTGGCCTGCCAGCCAGGAATCTTTTATGAGTAGTAAAAGTGGGATGGGAGTCTGAAGAACGCAAGATGCCCGCAAACCAGGATTGGACGACCCCGCTAAGCAACAGTCCTTTACTACCCACTCTTGATACTTATCAGTTGATTAGATTATTTTATTTGAACTATTTCCAAATCTAGTTTAGTCAGATAATGTTATTAGCATGAAATAACGAAGCCATAATCAGTGTAATAAACTTAGGCCTACTAAAGTTTAAGGGCTGTTTCCAACATCACCAGAGTAAATTAATACATAATATATATACATTCATTCTGATTTATAAAGTGTTAACAAACAGATGGCTGAGAATTATTTTATGTTGCAATTGAAGACTAGGCTACAGGTGTGTAATGCTGTTTTATTTCAAGCAAATGGCTTTCTTCACATTAACCAGAGTTATTCAAATCACACAAAAGTTCATTTGTAGGGTTTTTTTTTTCTTCCAGCTATTCATGTTTATTTGCACAGTGCTGGCAACGAGTTAAGTGCAATAAGTGCTTTCAGAGGGTTCAGGGTACAAAAAGTATATAGAAAGCCCTTTAGCCTACAGTATCATGGGCAATCTTAACCAAGACACTTTGAAACTGCGTGTCCTCATCGATAGATTCATAAATTGAACCAATGAAGGTTTATAGCAACTATTTCTGAAAATCTATCAATGGGTGTTCAGCGTTAAATTACATGGACATTTTGCAGAGATTTTATGATAAATGGTGTACATGCAAATGTATTTAAAATATACCTACATTTAATACAAAGTTTGTTAATTTGCTATAATTTCTAAACGTATGAATATCTTATATTGAAAAAAAATATTGAAAAACTGTCACTAGGTACCCTTTCAAATGGGACTAATATGTAGACTAGACTAAATAAGGTATAATAGTGAACTTCTTAGGTACCCTTTCAAATGGGACTAATATGTAGACTAGACTAAATAAGGTATAATAGTGAACTTCTTGAAAGGGTTCTGCAGTGATCAGTTAACTTTGATATTCTGTGTGGAACAATATCAATTTTAAAAGACGAGTATTAAAAAGGAGGATTGTCTGAAATAGGTATTATGATATTTTCTCAGATAAACAGATGTATGCATGAGAGACTGCGTCTTATTGTGTAAGAAATTATGTTATTTTGAGTTTCATGTTTCTGGGATCGCAGCCCTTTAAGATGAATAAAATCACTCCATCAGACAATTAAACTTACAATTAAAATCAAACATAACTTTTCATCTAACTTACAAAATAGAATATATTTATAAAACATTGTTACGTACACATTGTAAAAATGAATTATATAGTTTTAATTGTTTAATACAGCCTAGTTAGTTAGGTTAGTTAGTTCACCCAAAAATGAAAATTCTGCCATTAATTACTTCCCCACCAGGGGGCCCCAAGAGCACACGAAATGACAGCTTGATTTGTATTATTATTTTTTTGTGATAAATTATTATGTGAATGAAAAATAATACAAAATAATAAAATAATACAAAGTAATACAAAAAATTGCATGTTAACAGCCAGCCGGATGAATTGCAACTGCAAGCACAGTCAGACTGAATGATTTGGATTATTGAAGTGGATAGAACAGAAGAGGCAGCAGCATTGCTGCAAAACTGTCAGAAATGTCAAAAAAGGCAAAAAAAAAAAAAAAAAAACAGCAAGATAAAGGTATGTATATAAAATTTATGTAAACTCATCTTTGTGGGCTAGCATTAGCTGGCTAGTTAAGTAACATAGCCTAGGCTAGGTAGTATATGTCTTAGGAAAGTTCATGTTGGGATGTGCGGTATCACAATTTTTGCTCGTGGACGATTAAAATGTCTCCTCGATCTGCTTTTGAAGAAATAGTGTAGTATTGTGCTAACGTTACAAATTACAGCGAGCATTCTAATGATCCTTTGCAGTTATGCCTCAGTCCCAATATGCTACAACTCCTTGTACATTTACATCTCACGTTAACGCTATGGTACGTTGCTCTATACTGTCAAATTCTCACAATGTACATAAACACAGTTCTATACCTAAAGTAAAAGTAATTAGTTGTGTGTCTGCATGATGGATGCAGGTCTTAAAGTGACAGCAGCTTAATAGTAAAAATGTTTGCCTGGTCACCCACAAATGAAAATGTTGTCATTATTTACTCAAATGTTGTTCCAAACCTGTATTCATTAATTTCTTGTGCTCAACACAAAAGAAGATATTTTGAGGATGTGGTTATTATTGTGTAACCAAACATTTTCTGGTTCCTATTGACTTCCATTGTAGGAAAAAAAAAAATATAGAAATATATTATAATATAATATAAATATAATAATTTAAAGGTAAATACGATTTAATTAAATAAAAAAGAAGAAATATAATCAAAATGAAATAAGCTTTCTGGACAAACAAAAAAAAAGTTTAGTTAAAACATAATTAAGTGGCTAAAAACCTAATTGTTTGTGTTTAAATATTGTAAAATGTTCTTTACATTTCTGTAATTTAAATGGTAATGAATGCACTAATGGTTTGTTGATGGTTATTAACACAACTAGACTGCTCAGCAGATGGAATGCACAAAATAGCGCGCTTATGACGTGATAGGTTTTCATGGCAACAGAATTCTTTGTTGGGTGTTTGTTGGCGATAGATGTGGTTTGTGGTTTTGTTGCGGTTGGCGAGTTTATACAGTTATTGGATTTATTTGTTTATTGATTTTCGGTTTTTGACTCTCTTTCGGACTTTGACTATCGGCTTTGGATTCCCTTCTGTTTTGACGCTTGTTTTCGGATTTGTTTGTTTTGGATTCCCGGTTTTGACCCTTTTCTGTTTTCGACTCACGGCTTCGGACTCGCGGATTGGTTTACAGCTCGTCGACTGTCGACGCCCACCATTTCATTGAAATGAGGGTGAACGGAGTTGTATCAGTGTGTGTAAGTATGCGATATGCACACAGCACACTATGCTAACAATTGGACAAAGGTTGACTTCCAGTAAAGAACTTGATAAATTTGTGTTAGAATCAGCTTTCTTATTTTTCAGTCTTGTTCTAAATGTCAAGTATTGAAATTAACAATAAATTGGTGTAAGTGAACCCACATGAAGAAATGCTATTATGCGTTGCATTATAGCCTACGCTATTATGTAAATGCAGGGCTCCAGACTGCGACCAAATGGTCGCATTTTGCGACCAAAAATTGAGAGTGTGCGACTGAATCCAGTCGCACATGTGCGACCAGTAAATTTAACACGTTAAACGCATGGTAAAGCGTGGAAGAGGCGCGTCAATGAATCTGTGACAAGAATAGCGCGCGTAAACGTTTGTGGGAAGGAGACGGAAACAAATATCACAAACTGATGTGCGTCTGAGCAATCAGCGATCTATTGACTCTTTAGTCGTTACCTAGCAACGAATGCAAACAAAATGAAAGTGGAACGAAAATACGCCACTCATGTATGATTAGGACCGTGGAGCTGCAGCAGCGATCCGAACCATTGACAAAATAAAGCCCCGAACTTGCCAGTCGCGGGCCGATCTCGCTCACGCAACACTGTTACTAGAGCCAGTGAAGAAATCCATTGAATTCGCCTCAGAATTAATAACATTAACACCACGAGATCCAGTGAACACTCCGATTCGGCGCAGAGTTCTGTTATAAACCATATCAAACAGCGCTGACGTGGAAACCAGGAGAAACACTTATAGAAGGCTTTCAGTCCACAAATCAGCCTAACAGAACCATGAATTTAGGCAAGTTAACTCTTATAATATGATAATGTGTAAGTAGCCTACTACACATCCTTTCCCAGCACTTCAATAATATCATATAAATGTTTTATTTTTTTGTATTTTTTATGTGATTACCATACCAACACATTTTTTGTTCATCCTTTAAAGATTGTCCTTAAACGAACAATTTTAAGATGTTGGAAAACTCTTATTTAAACACTTAAAATAATAATAATAATACCATTGTAAACAGTAGGATGTTTATTGGCTATTTTCACTCCATATACATATTTTCACTACTTTTATTAATTAATATTAAGACATTATAAATGATAAAAACTAAAGTTAATTTCATCTACACCCTAAATTAAGCTTAGTGATTTATTGTTAGCCCCAGTGCTACCAGATTTTTTTATTTTTATTTTTTTATAGAACTGTGAGTTCTCATTTGAGGTGATGCTGCCCTTAACTTTGGGTCTGGAGCCCTGTGAAGTTAAAATAAAACAGCATATCATAATGTTAAGTCTATTTATAATTAAAGAATTTGTCAGTATTACAGTTATTTTGTGGGAAATTTGAATAATTGCATTGCAAGCTTATTGAAGGTGTGCCCCTAATTTTTTTGCTTGCGCTCCTAAAATTTTCAGTCAGGGGCAACAGCGCTCCTAGTAAAAAAAGTTAGTCTGGAGCCCTGAAATGTGATATTTCCTGACTCTACATCCTTTAAGAAGCTGTCTAAAAAGTGTGCTTTTTAAAGTTATTTTCTCCTGCACTTTTCCCTGTCCAGTAGCCTACATTTCCTTGTAACTCCCTGTTTTTCTGAACTTGTGTTCAGGTGGAAACACAGAAGACTGTGTTTGGTGTGCCTCTGATCGGCCTGAGGAAGAGTGGACAGATGAGGCAGGGTCTTCCTCTAGTGCTCATGCACATAGTGGAGTTTGTGGAGAAGCATGGTGAGTGTTTTTGCCAGTGTTTCTCAGTGTCCATGTATGCTGAGATTGTGTGTTTTTGTTAAATGTGTGTTTGTGTTTAGGTCTCTGTGAGAGTGGCCTGTTCCGGGTTGGCGGGGAAGTGAAGCTCTGCCACGAATTGAGGAAAAGTTTTGACCAAGGAAGCTTTCCTGATCTTGACAGTGAGAATATTCCCACTACTGCCTCCTTGTTCAAACTTTTCCTCAGAGAGTTGCCTGGTGGACTTATTCCAGATTCACACAGGACACGACTGCTGAAGGTGTTCAAGGGTAGGTGGTGAGGAGTGAACATTTTGGGTACTTGCTCCACAAAAAGATTGACTCATCAAATCTGATTGAATCTTCTTCATTGTATCTTACAGATTCAAAAGAGGAAGAAATGGATCAGGCTTTGAGGATGATCCTGAACCATCTTCCAGAGGAACATTTTAACGTCCTCTCCTATCTTCTGCACTTCCTGTCCCGTGTGGCTGCTGAGAGTCATTTAAATCAGATGACATCCAAAAACGTATCAATAGTTTTTGGACCCACCATCTTTCAGTAAGCGTTTATGTGTGTGTGTTCAGCTGATATAGTCTGTACTCCAAAGCACATCATGTAACTCAGGACTGAGGTTTCTAGAATTACATGTACAAGTTTTCAGGATCTTATGAGACACAGAGACCAGTCTGATGGAGCTGTCAATCATAAAAGGAAGATGGGTGTTTGGTGTATAGTGATGTGACACGTTTGTTATCTGTGTGTGCAGCGTTCCTCTCGGCCCCACCGTGATTCAGGAACAGGGGCTGTGTAACGATTTGACGGAGCACCTCCTGAACAACCTGCAACATTTGCTGCCGAACATGTACCCTCATGCATCCACCGGCATCACAGCAGTGAGTTTATTCTGTGTTATAAGTTTATGTTTTAAATGATGGTGGCATCTGATTGGGTTTAGGAATTTAATCTCTCATTGTATAAATAATTCAATTAAATTATTAGTCATTGCTAGTGTTTAAGAGTGAAAATGATAATACAGAGGCTAATTCTTTAGTTTTGTATTTGTATGAGAGATTGAAAATGCTTAGACCTGTGTTTGTATATTAGAGGAGGCAGGGGACTGCATTGACGAAGAGTGTGTCAACCAGCTGTCATTCACAGAAATGAGGTACATATGCTGAACACACAGTCACACGCACATGCACACCTGAATTGTTGGCAAACGGTTGATGATCAAATGCATGCACAATCACATACACCCACAAACATGCACACGTACAGTAGGATTCTGGTCATTATGGGTTTATTTAGAACCATTTATTGTAGAGTGCTTGTCAGTCCATCTTCACGCTTGTTCTGTGTATTTTCCAGATCAAAGCTCCCTAAAACTGGACGGCTTGGGCGAGTGAGAAAAAGATTACGCAGTTTTGGGAGAAAGTTTTTCTCATGCTTTGGCAGATTTTTATCTTTTTATCTTTAAGATTGATCTGTTTGTTGCCCTGCATGTGCCTATATGAAGTTTAGAAATGAAGTTTTACTGTGTTAGATGTGAATAAGTTAAGATTAGATTAGATTTAGTCATACAGGTAATGAATGTGTAGAGTGGACAAACGTGACCTGTTTTCTTACTTTTTCATTACTTCACCACACAGTAACAAAATCAAGCCTGAAGATGCAGCAATGGAGACCTAGACTAGAAGAGAATGGGGCCGGTGACCCAAGATGACCCGGTGACTGCAAGATACTAGACTCGGAGAGGGTCAGTGGAAGACAAAGAGGCCAGTGAGGATCACCAGAAGACAATGGGGCTGGTGACCCTCAATGAAAGATACTGGGGCCGACACTGTAAGGCAGGGGTTTTCAACCTTTTAGGATGTTTTAGGACCCCCCCCAATTTCAATTTCTATTTCATTCGTGCCCCTCACCGTCCCAAAGTGCATGCAAACGAATCATTGCTATACAAGTTGTGAAGAGGTTCAATGTTTGGAAGGAAGAAAGGTGGCTGCGTGACTGGGACTCGCACGTTTTATTTACAAAAGTCAAATCAACAAACAAAAGTCACGCCAACAGCCCATTCACCGTAGCCTTGCTACATACAAAACAATCTCACAATAATTGTACTATAATTGTACTCTCCTGTATTATGTGCTGCATATAGCGTGCATAAAAATAGTTACTATATTGAAACAGTACATATTTAGCTTACCTAATGTGATGGCTGAGCCTGTTTCTGAGAGCACAACATACCAATCCTATCCATAAATTATCGTCCACGGTCAATAAGCGTGAGCGATACTTGCTTTTGATGTAAGTTAATATAGAAAATGTTGCTTCGCTGGGCCAAGTTGAGGCAAAAGGCAAAAGTATATCAATTGCAAGTCTCTCAAGTTCAGCGTACTCTGTCTCCACTGACAGCCAGAATTCCGGCAGTGTGTTCGAGTCAAATGTCTTCAAAGTTCGGTCACTTGAAAGGCCCAGAAGGGCATCCTGCTGATTTGATGACAGACTCACTGCACTTTCGATGAAGGGGTTACGAACCCAGTCGTACTGGTTACAATGCTGCTCAGGAAAATACTTATTGAAAGTGCAGACAGGGCTTGTAGATGGATAGTTTTTTCTTTTTTTGGATCATCCCAATTAAGCTATTTTTCCATGAGAAATTCATCCAAGGTTGGGAACATGTCTACATTTCCCCCATCAACCTCCATCGCTCCGATTTCCTCACAAACCCCACAATTTTATTAGACATTGTTAGTTGGCTTGAATTAGGCCCCTGAAGAGTTGAATTAAGGCTATTGAGTCTATCAAAAATGTCAGACAAGTATGCATCTGTGAGCCACTTTGAGTCAGTAAAGATATTTGACCAAGTTCATCCAATTTACCATTGAGTTTTTCAAAAATATCTCTTCCGGTGCATGTTTTTGCCATTGCTGAGCAAAATAACAGATCTTCAAGCAGTTTTCTCTAATGACGGTAGCGAACAAATACAAGTAGTTGCGAGGAGGAGCTTGAGATGTTGGTCGAATCGTTTAATTGCAAAAAAAAAGAAAGAAATTCCGTCACGTATTCTCTCAATTTGTTGACATTTGGTTGAAAACCCCTGCTGTAAGGCACTGTGGCAGGTGACCCTCACTGCGAGACACTGAGGCTGGTAAACTTCACCCTCAGACACTAGGGCTGGTGTTGGTCACCGTAAAACATTGGGGCCAATGAAGGTCACCAGATGACACTGGGGTCGGTGAGGGTCATCACACAGCACTGGGATATGGGTTCCTTAAAGACTTTAGGGACGGTGAGGGTCACCAGAAGACTCTGGGGTCGGTGAAGGTCACTGCACAGCACTGGAGCCAGTGAAGTTTACCGCAAGACACTAGGGCTGGTGAGGGTCACCTCAAGACATTGGGTCTGGTGTGGATCACTGCACAGCACTGGAGCCGGTAAAGGTTACCTCAAGACACTAAGGCTGGTGAGGGTCACCTCAAGACATTGGGTGTTGTGTGGGTCACTGCACAGCACTGGGGCCGGTAAAGGTTACCTGAAGACACTAAGGCTGGTGAGGGTCACTGGAAGGCACTGAATTTGGTGATGGACGACATGTGATTTATAAAGATACAGACAAGACAGATGGTGTTGTTGACTCTGAAGTGTTGACTCTGAAGCTGATTCAATTAAAACTTGTCATCTTCATTCAATTAGTAGTGACTCTTTTTTCTTTATTAGGTCTGTGCAGTCTTTTGTTTGTAGTTGATCAAGCAAAAAAATATTTTCAAGATTTGTTATCACAACATAGTTTCTTTTGTCAAATCAACTTTATAATAATTTATTTAGTTGAGATAACTTATTATTTTGAGTTTCTGATGATTAAATTAATCTCCTTCATTGTATTAACCCACTTTTTCCAGTTCAATCAACTTAAAATTTTAAAGCAACCCAGGTTAGTTACTTTTTTTTAAGTTAAGCCAACAATATTTTTTACAGTGTAGGAATCACAACATTTTTTTCTTTTGTCAAATCAACTTAAATAATTTATTTAGTTCAGATAACATATAATTTTGAGTTTCTGATGATTAAATCATTCTTTCAAAATCATTCAATCAAAATCATTCAATCAAAATTTAGAAAAAGCCCAAATTCCAAGTTCACTAGTTCAGCTAAATAAATACATTTATTTACATCAAAATAAAACAAAACACCTAATTTTAAAATATTTTTGAACCCTTTTATTGGCTTTTTATTGAAAGTTTCATTTTTTTTTTATTGGTGCTGTATCAATGAACATGAATGTAAATGATAAAATGGAAAAAAGTATCTTCCAGGAAGATATATTATACGAGCTATTAAATAAAGATCCTTGTTACTAACACGAGTAATCGCCTTTAGAGTAGTAATAGAAAGGATCTGAATGTGAACAGATGGTCTCTTGATTAAGTTTGATACTGATGCGGGGAGCGTCTTCCTGAGGACTTTCATAAACCAGCACTGAACGAGTAGGCTACATGAATCGGGTGGACATTGTTTTCCTGAGGAAATGCAGGTAGGCATTTCAACTATTTTTTTTCATTCGTTTACAAAATTATGCTCAAACATTTTAATTTGTATGTGTCCGTGAAAATTACGAGTAGCCTAAAGTTAACGCCGCGTGGCTCCATTTTGTAGGCTACGTCCGCGCATAGAATACTGTGATGAAAAAAGTTATCGATGTAGCTTACTTAGCTAATTGCACACACGTATCGATTTACATTATTATTAGTTTTAATCCCGTCTCACTATCCATAACAGATAGAACAGAAATAGCAATATGACGCAATGAGATTCACAAATCAGCCAGTCATTATTCAAGTAATATAGTGTAGGCTGTTGCATTGTTTTTCAGTACTATGAATTCGTTTATAATGGTCTTTCTCGCTTATAACCTGGCTTGTTTTTTCTTTAACTTTCGATAAAAAAAAATCTTTAACCATTTTTTTTTATCTTTTTCAAATAAAAAATATGTCAGTTGCATATAATAAGCTCATAAGTGACAGATTTGCAGTTTATTGTGAAGTTGCTGAGCTTTAAAAATGTGAGAAAATCCTGAATATGAATGTTATCCTGACTACATTTTTGTGTGTGTGTGTGTGTGTGTGTGTGTGTGTGTGTGTGTGTGTGTGTGTGTGTGTGTGTGTGTGTGTGGTTCTATTGCCACCAGCCTGGAGACCTAAAAAATCACCAGGGAGCAGTTTTCCATAGTCAGGTACTATGAGCACTTGTGTTGAAAGACACTTTGGCAGAGTTGCAGATCGGGAGATGGAAGATCAGATTAACCCAGGGACTTGACAGTAATACCAGCAACAGTAAATTATTCCCCTTACAATTTGTTTCTTTCTAAGCGTTGCTGAAGATGATGGTGATGCTTAACCTCAGTACATTAAATGAAGGATAGTCGTACTATCCTCTTTCTTTCTTAAGATTTTGCTATTTGACTTTTGAGGCAGAGCAACGAAAATGGTTAATAAGTCGCACAAAGTGTCATAACATTTATATTTCTTGTTATTTTACCTGTGATTTTGCTTTAAACTTTGGTCACATTATGTTGTTTTTAAATGTGCGATAGAAATGCATGCACAGAAATAAATATTTATTGAAAGAATGATCAAGACAAAATACACTCCTTTTTTATCATAGGAAAATGCAAGCATGTCCTGCAAAATGGAAATCTATGTGAAGCTTATCTACAGGAATACAGTAAGGCAGAAACCAAGGGCTCTTCTGCTTGTGTGTGTGTGGCTCCTGTGCTCACAGTCAGTGTCCAGCAGCAACCAAAGCTCTCGAGGCCAAACCGGTAAGCTAAGCCAACTAGTGCAACATCTCTTTTTTTGTCCCCCTTAGGTCTCATTACACACACTGGACACACACTTATATAGCCCCACTGGAAACACAATCATATGGAAGGCATTTTGGCAGAAATTTAAAAATAAAACAAAATGAAAATGAAAAGGAAATCATTTAATTTCATTATCAAATTTGTCACATATTCTGCGTACCATTTTCTGTAATGAAATGGTTAAACTTGTTTTATTTTTAATTTTTATCGTTTAATTTATTTATTTAATTTTGGCAGAAAATGCCTTCCATACAATCAGACCACTGCTAATAACAGCTAAACACTATTTGCCACCTAGTTATAACTCATTCAGTCATGAACATAGTGAATCTAAAATGTCATGAGGTGGCTGGTATAGCTTTAAGTATATATTTGCATCCATATAAAGTCAAATAATATGATCAAATATAATATAAATAATATAATGTTTGACATGCATATATGCATATCAAACTGTTATTTTATAGATTTATAATTTTATTTACATAAAAAAAGCTTTTGAGTTTTTATTGATTTTATATTGATTAACTGATTTTTAAAATGAATAATATATTGTGCTTGAATTTATTTTTATTTAAAGTTGCCTTCATTTAGTTTATTTATTAGCTTTTTATTTAGTTAGCTTTCATTTTTTATTTATTTCCAGTTAATAAGTTTAATATTTTAATAATAATTTCAGTGCTGCTTTTAATAGTCACTGGATCAGAGCTCAGAGCAACTGTAGTGTTGTTTATGTCCACGTGAGGGCGCCAGGGCATTAGAAATAAAGTTATCTGTGCCTCTGTTTTCACCAAATTTGAAGCTGTGTGTACACTGTACGCACATATGACAAATATTCTGCATGTAATAAAGCCCTCCCATTTCTAACTGTCTTTCTATCAATTTATGGTCGGTCTGAAGTTAAGCCAGGTACCTGTGAAGTGGTGGCGGCTCATCGGTGCTGTAATAAGAATAAAATCGAGGAAAGGTCTCAGACGGTCAAGTGCTCCTGTCTCGCTGGACAGGTTGCTGGAACTACCCACACCCAACCTTCATGTGTAGATGGTATGTCTGTATCTCATTAACCTCAAATTACTGTAAGAAAAAATGAATCATGGCTAACTGCATCAGTGACAGCTCTCTATTATCATGTGTGATGCTGCATCTGCACCGATAGGTGCCAGTACAGCCCATTACTGTCGTATTGGTCAAAACAAACTAAAAATGACTTGGTATGACAGCATAAGACGCAGTGATAGTTTGCAAACTCCTGTTGCATTTAGTTTCAAGAACCGGTTGGACTTCAGGGCTGCTTTTGATTTAAAACTCCAGCAACATTGGCTTTCTCAAGCTGTCACTCTCCTTAGATTTAGGCTTTGAGCTGTGAATCTAATCCTGCTCTCCCAGTTTGTTGACTCTTCAATCAGCAGATGTTTTGGAGGGATTTACTGCCGCCCGCACCAAGTTTATTGCTGCAGGTATCTCTGTTTTAAGTTTTCTGCTGGAAAACTTTATTTGTTTATTTATTTATTTTAGGCATGCGCCAATATTGAAATTCTGCCTGATACAATAAACTAATAATTAATTTTCTAACCAGTAAATGGCTGATATTAATTGTCTATAGTGTTTTGTCTAAATAAATGAAACGTGTACACATATTTTAGTATGAAATAATAAAAAAGTGCCGTTTTAAAGTGCTCCTATTATGGTTTTTGGATATTACCTTTTAATGTAACATGTAATATAGCGCTATATTAGCTATGTAGTTTTATAGAATTATTATCTCCTAAAGAAAAAGAAAATATTTTGAACTGACTGTAACGAGTCGACAGTAACTCTAGTCTTCCTGGCTGCACGAACCCACGGACCGTATGTTTGTAACAAATTTGCATCTTCATTGGCTGAACGAGTTTGAACAGGAGAGTCACGAACGCTCATCACAGAACAGAGCAAGGCGAGCATTTGTGCTTATAAAACGTAAACTTTTTTTAATATATTTTACCCTTATTCATTGTCTGGTGTTGTTTAAAGGCCTTTGAAGCCGCACTGAAACTCTCATTTGAACGTTGAACCGTTCTGTTTAGTTAACAAGATTATTCAAAATATCATCTTTTGTGTTCCACAGAAGAAAGAAAGTCATACAGGTTTAAAGCAAATTACAATTTCGTTACATTTTTGGGTGGACTATCCCTTTAAATATCCATATATGTCCAAAGTTGGCAGAAAACTGTTATGGTTTTGATGTGTTGTGCATCCCCATTGTTTTATTAATCATTTAAATGAATATGAATAATATTCCTCAATAACATTTATAACAGCTTTTGTTTTTACACAGGCCAGAAAAACTTCTCTAGTCTCAATAATAATGCAGAATCATGCAGAATTGGATTCAGAGTCATCATAATTCATTCTTTGACAGAATGTCAAGAAAATAGTTTTGAAAGGGAAATCCAGATGTCATACCACATTCACTTTCATACATTTTCTCATACAATAGCATTACTATATCCTGGTGCCTTGGGTGCACATGTATTGTGTTACGCTGGATATTACCATTTTAATTCTTCAAAATAAGCTGTTGAGAACGAATGGATCTCTCCCTGAATATCCTGCAGAAAAGACCAACATGAATTTTCAGACATGAATAGTCTTTCTGATGAAGCTGGTTGACAAGATTGTTAATAAGCCAGCACATCAGTGACCCATGCCGTGACCACGTCCAAAACAAGACATATGCTGTTTCATTTTTTTCCCCTCAGCAGGGCAGTTTTGTCAGCATGGAGCATTAATCAGCCATATTTGTGTCTTTCTGTGTAGTTTCAGCATGCAGGTTTGTCTCTGTGTGGGTTTGAGTGGGTTTATGTGCATCTGAGAGGTGGGCAGTGAGCTTACGTGGGTGTGTTATCATCATGGTCATTTTTACGCCTCTGGGAAGATTTAACAGACCTCGATATTTCACAATTTGCTATCAATTCATTTCAGTTATTTGTGATTTTTATACATTCTTACTACACTGATCTCTGAAATACTTGATTCTGTCTGTTGTGGAAAACATTTTGATCATTGACCGCTGTCTCTGGCAAAAAAAAAAAGAAGTATTGAATTTTATGTCTCTCTTATCACTCTGCAGTCTCTTGATTCTCACATAATGAAGTAATTTCAACTCAAAGTAGTCTTTTATGTCCTTGTTATATTTATTTACTTGGAAAGTAGGCATTTAATAAGCAGGATAATGAAGTCAGCTGGTAATTATCACAAAATAAACCCCTCCAGTACTTACACTGCTGTTCAGTAAGCTTTTTTTCTTCTTCTTTCTGCAGTAAATTGTTCAATTGTTCTGCATTCAATTAATCAAAGAATCCTGAGTTTCCACAAAAATAAGCAGCACAACTCTTTTCAATATTGATAATAATCAGAATGTTTTCTTGAGCATCAAATCATCATGTTAGGATGATTTCTGAAAGATCATAAGACATTTAAAGGAGCTGTATGCAAGAAACTTATTTCAATTAATCATAAATTAATCATGACATTAATCATGTTCATTTCAAATACTTATATCACTGACAAAAGTCGTCCGGCCAGGATATTGTCATTTAAAAAGTGAACTTGCAGCCCTTGACTGATGTTGATGTTGTCAAGTTGTGTTTTGGTCTTATGCTCCACCCTCCACCGATCTACCAATCACGGAGTCAGTAGTGTTGCGGCATTCGGGTTGCCAGCTCTTCTCTAGTTACCACAGCTGCAGCTACTAATGTGTCAGAATCGGATAAAAAAAATTCTAAAGTTGCGAAACCCAAAAAAACTCGATATGAATCCGAAATACTTTTACAAAGTCCGAAATAAATAATTAACAGAAAAAAACTCACCATGTAGGACTCGTCACTTGCCATTGGAAGCTTTTTGTAGCAGCCTACATTCCTGCTGGATCCTGCAGCATATCTGGCAACCTCGAGTCATGGGGGAAGGCGGGGATAACTAATTTGAAATTGATTGCAGTACCAGTTTTGGCCACAATCTTGCATACGGCTCCTTTAAGACTGAATCAATGGTGAAAAATCAGCTTTACCATCACAGCATGGTAATTTCACTCACTTTTTATTTTAATCCCCTCTCAGCATCAATCGTGCGGATGAAGTGGTGGTGTCAAATGGAGCCATGCTTAAATGGTGAAGAGTGTAAAGTATTGCCTGACCTCACCGGCTGGTCCTGCAGCTCCGGGAACAAAATCAAAACTACCAAGGTGAGTGTAAGGCCTGGTTTTTGGATAGAGTCCACTGTTATCTAGAAGTGTAGTCAGCAGTTTGACTACCACCACATACACGTCAGAGCTTCATCATCAGATCTTTTAGGTTGCTTATTTGGACTGTACATGCGTCAGTTTTTTAGTTATTCATTGGTAATTCTACCATGAAATATCTTCTAAAGTGCTTCTTGGCCCTTCTTGCCTTTTAGGTCACACGGTAAAGCAACACTTCTGTGGACATGTGATGACAACTCATAATTTCACAGGAATGTATTTTAAAATCAGATCTGCAAATGTCAACAGAAACACTCGAGCAGAAACATGCAAACTGTGAACTATGACTGTGAGAAAAGTTCAGATGATGCAAGACATTAAATTATCTTTTGAACTTAATCAAAGATTTATGAAAAAATTATATTTTACCCACAAAAATATTGATCAGTTATGTTTCTTGAGCAGCAAATCACCATATTAGAATGATTTCTGAAGGATCATGTGACACCGAAGACTGGAGTAATGATGCCGGAAATTCAGCTTCGCCATCACAGGAATAATTACATTTTGAAATATAGCTGTGAAAAGCAATTATCAGGGTTCAAGCACTTTGAGGCATTTAAGCACATGCGTAAAAAGATATTATGTTTTATTTACCAAGCATGTAACCACTTAAATCATAGAAGGAAAAGACCATTTACAACCAATACAGGCAATTTACCTTAGGAAATATATGGGTTTAAAGCTTTTTAACAGTTACAGTGTCACATATGGGACGATCTCTATAAAAGTCTTTTTTAGAATCACTAATTTCGTGAAGTTTTGAGTTTTCGGTTAGGATTTATTGACTTTTGAGTATATTTTGCCACGCCCACTTTCCAAATGACCCTGTAGCCACTCAAAAGGTAAAATTATATTTTTTAAATAATTATAAACAATGGCTGAATCCAAATCCAGTCCAGTAATAGTGTTCACTTGAAGGAGTGAAAGAAAACGAGTGAGTGAATTCGGACACCCGTTGAACGTACATTGGTTGTACACTCGTTATTGCAGTGCAATGTAGGATTGAATGAGTCCACTCAATAATGTCCACTATGGTTTTGGACACTACTGCAAATGGCTGTCCCCTCAAGTAACACCCTATTTGAGGGTATAGGGGGTGATTTCAGATTCAGCCCTAGAATAGATGAGTGAAACACCACGTGATTACTGAGGCGTAAAACTCGTTTGCTCCATCTAGTGGCCGACTTCTTTCAAAATTCTTACAGACCTCGAGTCGAGGGGCCATGAGTCGAACATGCTCAATGAGTTTTATTCCGATCAGCCTCCATAATCCTGGTCTAATTAGTGCTAATTAGGGCCATGTTTTTTGAGATACACCAATGTCCTTATAGACAATTATGGCACCAAAGACACTAAATGCCAATTTTCCAGTCAATCGGACTAACGGTTGGGTGGTTCTAGACATTTTCATGTTTTTTTCATGTTTAGCGTGACCAAGTGACTACTCACTTGATTGGTGAAAATATCTACTTTCTTTTAGGAGGCATTTTTGTAAAAGTGGCTCCTCCCACATTAAATGTTTTGCTGAGAAATTGAAATTAAAACTTTTTTCAAAATTATTGACGATCAGAGTAGCGGCCCCGTCAGGCCTATCATGGCGAGCCTTGGTGATGTTGTAGACGGTGTAAGTACTACCACCAGCCTTCAAGGTTTAAAGTCCCTACAACTTACTGCTGATCCTTGGATATTTGAACAATTACAATTGGGTTTCAGCGCTATGTGCATGAACCCCAAAATATATTAAAATAGAAAACAGTTATTTTAAAATGTGATGTTAGCCTAATGTATTTTACTGTGTTTTTGATCAAATAAATGCAGCCTGGGTGAGCAACTGAGCATAAGAGACTTCTTAAACGCTATTTCCCAATGTACTTTTTTTTTGTTATTCACAAAAAAAGTAATACAGTAGATGTGGATGAGGGTGATAAATTGTTGACAAAATTATCATTTTTTTTGCTGTACTATCCCTTTAAGTGTTTATTGGTACATGTGTTTTTTTCTCTCTCCATCTTGATTAATCCATGTTCTCCGAGTTGTAACCAAGTTAACTCTGATGTTGTTTTTGCACAGCAAAACTTCTGAATATTAAGATAAAGCCCCTACCTGCGCACATGTACACAAACACACTGCTCGTCTCTTCATTTTCATCTGCTGACTTGACACACCACCTGCAAGTGGAGGCAAGTAAACATGCAAGTTTGGAGCAAAACAAGCCCTGTTTGATATGGAAATAGAACAGAGGAGTGTGAGAGTGTGTGTGTTTATCTGGATGTATGAGAAAGACAGATGGAGAACCAGACTAGGCTGGAGCCTATGTGCTCCTGAGTTGTAGGTTATATTATCATATTAAGCTTTTATTAAAATGTGGGGTTGTGGAAGTAGAGTGGTTCGCTTCTAATTATGACTGTAACAATGGTGAAATTATGTATTAGTTTCCTTACACAAACACATGAAGGGATTCACTGCAGGTTCCAGTCTGTTATTAATTCACACCAGGGTCACCTTGACTGTTCTGAATGATTTGTCATAAGGCTCATTAAGACTGATGACAATTCACTGAATTAATTTGGTGCTTCCCAATGTAAAACTCAAACTTTTTTCAAACATTTTTAATGTTAATGAATAAATATTCATTATTGAGGTGCCTCTCTGTTGAAGAATGTTGGTATTTTTTCCCCTTTTTGCTCTGCAGTAAGCATAAAATTATTCCTGACAGTTTAAGTGGCAAGAGGCAAGATGAATTTGAATGTATTTACGATAAACACATTTCAGGTTTAATGACACCGAACTCTCCTGGAAAGAGTAATTGTTGTGTGTGAAGATCCAGAAAACAGGGTATTACTTATGCATGCCGTGCCTGGCATCAGTCCCCTGGGGAGGGCCAGTGCGCTCCTGTAGTGCTTTAGACTAGAGGAACTGAGGACAGTGAATGTTAGTATAACTGCTTGAATTTAAATGATGTTGGCATCCATAATGAACTTAATGACGGGGGGCTTGAGTTTCACATTCTCACTCTTCTGTTTGCATTGCATTGTTGTTAAAAAGAGTGCTGGCGAATAACTCGATATGCCATTGTTCGCATACTTTAAAGGAAATGAGAAACCCATGCCAACACGGTATGCCAGCATCTTATTATATCCAGTGAGCGGAGGAAGGCTCTGTGGGAAATAAAAAATTCAAATTATGAACTATTTTCGACCAGCAATCTACCATTACCAGGCTCAGGCGGATCCATCTTTTTAGAGGAGAAAATGACCAGGAATGGTTTTGGGGGCAGCCCTTTAGATACAGTATCTTATCCAAAATGTGTTCATTGGTCAGATAATTACCCAAACCCCCCTACATCTCACAGTGGGCCAGAGAATGTAAGGGGGCTTAATAAAGAAAAATTAAGGGGGCGCTTACATAACAACAACGTTTTCAACAAAAAACAAGAACAGCATGAGTTTTGACTGTTCATTTACACAACAACTGCGTTTTAAGGGCCTGAAAACGCTTTCAAAGGTTTCAAAGTGAAGGTTCTTAAAAACGTTAGCATAGTCTTTGAGTGATTCTGTGGAAACCGTGACATCTTGTGCATGCATATTTATCATTAGAATGTCTTCTTTCTGACCCTAGAAGAGGAGAATCATCAGGACTTGACTGGGGCTCAAATTCAGCCATTCCGGCCCAAACGTTTCCCCATTTATGTTTTGCTAAGTCCTTTAAATTGGAATGAACAAATAAATTAATGAATAAAGGACTGAATATACTGCAAATGCGTTTAACAATATTGCACGACTCTTAATTGTTGAATTAATATTTTAAAGTTTATTATAACTGAACATACTACACAGAATTTTTTTTTATAGCTTTTTCCTTAATTCATCCAGGCTTTAAAGCTCTTAAATTCTCCTTTGTTGCCTAATGAGAAGTTATCGTTATTGCTTGAAATCCAGAATTTAACTGCAAGATCAAGACACAGGCAAAACAGAAAAGCTCCTCATTACCATGGTTTTAAGGTTGTAATATAACAACAACAACAATAATAATCATATTGCTAATAATAAACTATATTTGTAATGAAAAACATCTGTAAAACAATTTCTATAAAACTAGTATTTTTGCACTTCCGGTTCCATTGTCCTGAAGTCAGTGGGGTTTTTTAATATGTTTTTGTTTAAATGACTGAAATAAGGTCTGCGGTTAACAAAAGCTCAATACTTTCATGTTTTATTCTACGGCATAAATAATTGTGTCTTGAAAAAGGTGGTGGCTAAATGGGACTACAGAGACTGACTAACCAACGCATTCTCATTCTAGGGCGCTTAGCCTATTACAAATGCGTATACATCCAACGCACATGGCACCCTTTAGCGTCAGTATAACACGCTTCGGTTATGTGTAGTTTAGGTGTGGGGTGGGGTTAGGGTTATACCACTAGGAGGCGCCTTCTGGCCCATATATATTTGCATCTCATATTGACGCTAAAGTGTGCCATGTGCGTTGGATGTATATGCATTGTCAAAAGTGTCATTATATGACGCCTTGGGATGAGAACGGGCTGGACTAACAGGTAGGCAGTTCGCTTTTACAGCCTCGTTATGCTTTTGATTGTGCTCTTATGAACTGTTCTAACTCAAACTTTCTGGGAAAATGTTTTAGATAAAAACTGAAAGATTTGCTGGAAGCTGATGGTAATGTTGTTGAATTTGTGGGACCGTGGTGAAGTTCATTTATTTAGCTTTTTACTTCTTGCAAAACTTGTAAGAATCATAAACTTTTGTTGATCACAGAGCTTGTTTTTTTGCAATAATCCAAAATTCTTTGGAAAAATGGGGAAAATCCTGGGTTTCATCACTTGGCTTTTGATCTTTGTTTCCTATAGGTGCTTCACTGAAAAACAGCATGTAATATGCTGGGGCATGATGGGGTATTGGTGATCAACCAATTTGAAAAAATATAGGTGCTCCTGATGGCCAGTCAATCTACTCCACAGCCAATCACGGGCCTCCTCCTATAGCTAGGGCCCTGGTGCTTCAGCCCCATCTTGCCCTATTGTTAATGCGGGGCACATTAGTCGTTTTCGTGGATTTGTGTGAAAAGAGATCGTTTTGATAATGACTTTTTAGTACATTTTTGTCCTGTAAGCTAAACATACCATTAGATTCTATCACCGTTCATCCTTATTTAGTTCCTTCCAAACTTATTTGACTTTCTTTCTTCCATAAAACCGAAAAGAAGATGCTCTTAACTTAAGCTGCTCTTTTCCATCAATTGAAAGTGCTCTCAGACTCACCTGAGCAAATGATGGCATATTTTTGGGTGGACTATCCCTTTTAAATTATCCTTTTCATTGTGAAAAAGTAATGTTTAATGTCATTTCCATTGAAACTTGACGTAATTTTGTAGATTTAGAATATATGAACTTGAAATGTAATATCAAATGATACACTGCAGTTTAAATTATAATGAAGTTTGCATGTGCTTATGTATGTTAGTGAATACATAAAAATAATTTTTTTTTAAAGCACAAGAATATTATTAAAATAATGATTTCAAAATATTTTAAAGTAAAACGTTTCATTTGATGCAATTACAAAGTGCACTTTTTTAAAAATGTAAAAAAAAAAGCAAACTATATATATAGCCTATACTTTTTAAGATTTGTAAACTATAAGTGGACATTCAGTACAATAAGTGCACTTCTTTTTCAAAAGTGTTTTTGGTTTAGAGACATGCTGTTCTTGGTTGAAAATTGTGCAATCAGTAAATGGCAGTGTTATCATAACTGTACAGGTACTTAGCATAAGTAGTGTAAGTGAGCAATGATGTGCACCATTTGTTTTGGGACTTGTCTCGCTGTGAATTAGAAAGATGTATGAACTTCCGTACCTCCAGGGATCACATCGATGCCCAGAAATGCATACTAGTATATTTTTGCTCGCACATTAATCTTGCATGGTATTGAGTAACACAGGCAAATCTGATTGGTGGATTGTTATCATCAAACTGTCTTTTGTATAATTGGGAAAACTTCACATCTGCTGCATTCAAGATGTTGTACAGTATACTTGACTAATCTGAGCCATGAAAAGGACTCGAGAACGCCTCGAAATGTACCACAATTATTAATAAATGAATGATGACCAAATAAAAACTACAACTACAGATCATGCAAGAAATTTTAATTAAAATATACTTAATTAAGGAGACATAAAGGTGATTTTTGTTCTAACTGTGAAAGGCTTGGGGGTGTACTCATCATATTTTGCATGCTTTAACTAGTCTCATAAAAAACTACTCAGACTCTATATAATAAGCTGTCAAGGACGCCTTTGGATGATTTCCCTTTTTTGTCACCTTGTCGTGATCAAGTGTTATGGTGTAGTTTAGAGATACCTGTCTTGTTTGTGTATCAGGGTGTGAGAGGAGGCTGTGAATTAAGTGACTCGAGAAGGTGAAAATGAAAGGTGAAAGCGAGTCTTGAGTCTATCACCACAGCCTGTACATTTTTGATTTTCAGGTGCACTGGTTTAAAAAGGAGTAATTATGTGGCTGGCTTTTGTGAGATTCGAATGGGTTGGTTTTGCTTTCTTGCAGGTTTTGTTCCTTAAACGTGTTTCAGATTTGGAAACAGTGCTTACCTCATGCTTTTCTTTGAATTATTCAGCACCGTTACAGCTAATAAGACTAAGAGGTAGTGGTACTAGTGCTTTATTGCATGCACATTGCCAAACAGCACACATGTTGACAGCTCCCTGACTCTGTGCTGGTCATTAATAATTGTGATTGAGAGCAGGGTTGTGTAAGAAGCTCTTGATGTCAGGTTAAATTAGAGTCAAAAAGAAGTGCTTCACCAAGCAAACAACAAGGGAGCTCATGTGACCAGTGCTCATGCTGAAGTTAAACGGAACAAGTGAGCAGCCATTGTTATTTTGTTGACTTTTTTTAATCTAAGATCGAAACTTAATTTTTATACATCCGTATTTCATTTGAATCTGTCTGAGAGCAGCGAGTTGTTTTCAAAGGAATCCAATTTGCAATATCATTCGCCGTCCTTTTAAAATGTTGTATAAATTACTTTTTGTAATGACATTGGGAGGTTTTCAGTGCAGACACAGAGCCTCACAGGAGCATTTTCCGACTTCCCAGACCTAGAATTGTCTCTCTGAGCAAATATCGGCGGAGTCAACGCCGTTTCAGTGATGAGGACATCGCTGCTTTTATCCTTCAAAGCTCCAGTGGCTTCATTGTATCAGAAACTGCTTTGAATCATTAATAGCCTCATTTACTGAACCTTAGAGAGCTTAACAAGCAACCATCAGCATGTGTGATATATTTTTACAACACTTTTGCTGAAGAATTAAATTTGAATTTGAAAACCTTTTACACATCCGACTTCCAGTGTTATTTGGAAGGGCAAAAGAACATGATTTGAAAACTTGTGTATTAGTGGACATGAAACACTATATAAGTAGTGATATAAATCTGTATAATTTTTTATTTTTAGGCGTTTTCTCAGGGGCAGAAGTGTTGCAACATCCATATGAGGCCACAGTTGTAGATATTGCTTTTATACTGTTGAGCAAACAAGAAAAATGGTATTATTGTATTATTACAGTACAGTATTATTGAACGAATCAATTGAGTAAATGATTCAGTGACTCAGTATGTGAAAAGAGTAGTAAGTTCATAACACAGTAGGCAAAAACTACCCAGTTGACCTATTACTTCAAGATTCTGAGTTGAGCATTCAATGGACACTTTAATGTGCTATGATGCCTTGGGAGAGGAAGTCACATGACAACATGACGCGTAATACATACGGATTACATTCGTGCAACGCATATTTATACTATATTGAACATACTGAAAACGAAGTACCATACTATGAGAGAATTTAATTTCAGACACAGCCACTCACTTGTTTCATTTCTCAATGAATCTGTGTTTTTGAATCAATTGATTAAGTAAAATGATTCAATCACTCACTCAAAGAGGCAGGAACTTGTTTAGTTTCTAATTTAATCTTCAACTGAATTTGTTGAAATAATTATCCAATCATTCACTCATAAAAACAGACACTTGTTTTGTCCCTGAATGAATCAGTTTTTTTTGAAAAATGTAATGAATCATTCAGTGACTCACCCATCTCTAGCAAAGATGTACACTGTGGAAAGAAACACTGTAAAAAAAAACCCACCACTAATGCAGTGAGTGACAGTTTGTCCAGAGCGCACAAACACAAGCAGCTCGATACAAACACATGGCCACTTACACACTGCACAAATTTGGTTCTCAGTTAATCTTTAAGTGCTTCATCTGTTCAGTAGGCTACAAACACAGTTCAGTAATGTACGGGAGTGACAACTACATTCTCCAACTGAATTAGCTATGTATGCCACATCATTGTGTCCACCAGCCATCTTGGAACTGCTAGTGCAAAACAGCAGAGATTTGAATTCCATAAGAATGTGATAACTTTTCACAGATGAGAATGTGATTGTTTGTGTTTTTGTATTAACTCATTATTACAGGTTTTTTTATACCATGGTTTATAATTGATAACATTTTAATTTCATGTCAGCTGATGCCTTCATCTTGTTGTTTTGTGTTCGTTTAGCAAAATCATCTGCTGAAGTCTATTGCAGGTATATTCATATGAGTTCTATGATTACAGAGGGACATTGTTAATGACGTATTTAAATGCGCATCAGAGATGTAGCCTTCTATATGTGTGTGGTGCAAGAAAACCACAGGGCAAGTGGTGAGCGTTGACTGTTTCGTTTTGCTAGATCTTGCTAGAAAAAAAACAGCAAACAAGAACAAGCCCATAGTAAACCCAGATAAATCCAAATGGTTAATATTGAAAACATGACCAAAATATTGTGACCTACCCACATCTGCCTACTTTATTAAACTAGATCACTTTATGGCCCTGTTTACACCTGGTATTAAGATGTGTTTTGATGGATCAGACCCAAGTTTGGTTTAAAGACGAAAAACACACCAAACACAATGTTTTCTCATTCCTGATTCCAAACCCATACATTTAGCCACCCATAGACCCATACACACGAAACGATACGTTAGTGGATTCAGCTCCCGTAATTAAATGCGCTTGTCACCCCTGAAACTTTGTGGACGTGACCACAGCACTAGCCAATCAAATTTTAGAACTAAAACTATTGTATAATGATATTTGTAGATTAGCTCATTTCCTTCCATTTATGTATCTTAATGGTAATACACTGCAAAAAAATATTTTCATGATTTGTAATCACAACCTTTTTTCTTTTGTCAAATCAACTTTATGTAGTTCAGATAACATAATATTTTGATTTTCTGGTGATTAAATCAATCTCCTTCATTGTATTAAATCATTTTTTCCATTTCAATGAACTTAACATTTTAAGGCAACCAGGTTACTTTTTTTTTTAAGTTAAACCGACAATATTTTTTTATGATTCCTGTTTATATTGTAAATCTTTTCCACAACACAAAGGAACTTTTTTCATTTAGCAAAAAAAACATTTGAAGACCTCTCAGACAAAAGCTCAGCCTGCAAGAGAAAATGCTGGTATTTGCTTATAAGATATCCGTGCAGCCTATTCATTTTTCCTCTCTGATACTCTGGAGTCAACTGTTTGAAATTCCACCAAAGCTCCACTGAAGGTGAGGGCTAAAGTTCATCCTCTGCTGTCCCATGTGGAGGACTGTAAATGTAGTGATCTGTATTCACTCAGCCTGTAGTTAGAGCCTCATTTCTGAATGCCGACAGCAACACTGAGGCTCTTATGTTCCCAGCTCCCTGCTTAAAATGCTAGAGCTACATATTCAGAGTGAGTGCGTGCTCTGGCCCTCAGCTGCTCCGAGCGGAGAGGACTATTTCTGAATGTAAACGACAGGTAAATGTCCCAGCGGGTGTCAGAATTTTCAGTGTCCTTCAGTGCAGACTGCCTGCCTACACATTCAAAGACCCTTCAGTCCATTCAAATGACCAGAACCCTTAATATACAGAAGGGTCTTAGTAGGTCTTGTGCCATTTAATGAAGGTATATTTGAACAATGGGAAATGAATTTGCTTCAGAATATTTGAATGTCACGGTATTTTATGTGCATGCACCAGCATATTTCAATCAGGCTTCATTAACTTCAGTAATAAATCCACAGCTTTTATATATTGCTGTAGCCAAAGTGAAGGTCTATTAGTTTTTCATTAAACATGTACATTTTGAGAACACTTCAGTTAAGCCTTGATGACTCAATTTGTCAAAATATTACTGAAGCCCAAAAATAAAAAATAGCACCTTTTACCAATCAATAGAACAATGAACAAGAACACGTAAACGGCTGTTCATTTGCTCCTTCTCACCCATTATTTTCACATTGAAACTATTGTTTATTGCAAATTAAATATAGTTGTAACATAATTATCACCATTTTTTGAATTAATTTTATTTACGAAAAAACATTTCTTTCATCTATATTTACAACCTCCCATAAAATCATGCTAAGGACTTATTTGGTTTTAGTATCACACCATAATTCATTCAGAACTCTTAATCTGATATAATGTTCCAAGAAATGGAGAAACATCTCCGGCTGGATTGGATGGGATCAGTCATTCCATGTACACATGCTCCTCTGCATTTTATGCACAAAGTGTCTTTATTAAAGTTGCTTGAAGACGATCCCCTTCTGAATATCCACATGAACAGGAAGCCAGTTTTACTACATACAGTAGGAAAATTAACATGTTCTTCCGGAGACATAGGAACATCCAAGAATTTTACAGTTGAAGATAATTTCAGGCAAGGTGTAGCTGGTTTGAGTGCACTCCACACAAAGGGATACAAGTTTAATTATCCAGGACTCACTGAGATGAAACAAATATTTGACAATTGTCAAACAAAACAATGAAAGAACCAGCAGTTCCACGCCCACAACGATTCTCTTAGAAAGTCTGGTGTCCGTGTTAGAGACAGATGGATTTATGAGAAAAGGGCTCCACGTCAAGTCATTAGACGCCTGTTGGTTTCGAGTTGGGAAAACTTAATTCAGCTTGTCGTCTTGGATATTTCCCTGAAAAAGTAAAGTAAATGAAAGATCGATGAGTAATATGAAAACAATCTGAGAAAGAATTAATTTACCATAGGTCCCACACCTTTGAAATCCATAATTTGTTTTCTATTGATAATTTTTAGGTCTTCACTGAATCACCACGTTGAACAGGCAAAAAGGAGGAATAAAATCAAAAACCTTTGTAAAGTTTCTCCGTTATGAGCTTTCCAGTGACTCTATATCTGCTACAAGGATGTGTATGGGTGGGTATTCTGAAAAGAAAAAGAAAATAAGGGGGAAAAAAATCATACTGAGGCTGTCCACATGTAACCCCTCACACCCGGGTCCTACTCGCCCCGCTCCGAGCGGGCCTCAAACCCGGGTTTCCGGCATGAGAGTCGGACGCTCTAGCAAGGAGGCTAAAGACTGCAGCCTTTAGCGTCTGTCGCTAGAGCGTCTATTGAGATCGGGGAGTGAGGTTTACTCACACAGCAACTACTAGCTGGCCTCCGTTACACACACTTTTGCGTTTTTGTTTTAACATGGCGTTTTAAAATGAAAACGATGCTCATCCATACTGGTGTAACCGGTTCTACTCAACCGGGCGCTCAAACAAGGAGGCTAAAGACCATAGCCTCTAGTGTCAGTCACTGGAGCACCTCTTGAGATCAGGGGAGTGAGGTTTACTCGCACAGCTCTTACTGGCCTACGACAGTTGCACTGGCATTTCCAGTGAGTTTCAGAAAAGACCTCCATCCACACTACACGACCAAAAACCCATGTCACATTACCATTAATGCGCACTGGGCATACACGTACAAGTGTAAACAGTTGCCGATTGCTCTAATATTAGCTTGCCTCTTGCGCATTTAGGCAGCAGCAGTATAATGAAATGCAGGGTTTAACTGCACAATGGCTGCTCAGAAGGACGACAAAGTCAGCAAAGCTTTCAGTCTCCTTGTTATTGTTTGACATGGTTGTCAAAGCTGGTCTGTTACAGAGCCATACAGAAAAATAGATCTGGTCTGTTATTGTCGTGTTCCGGTAGCGTAATGGTCTTATGATAGGGACTTGACGAATCAGGAAAGCATATGCAATAATCCAGAAGACCCAGTCAGGGAGCGAATGTGGGCAACCACGCCTTCATTTTCAAAAGTCTCAGTTTTGCTCTGTGTACACTGAAAAGCAACCCCAGAGTTTTCAAACTAAAATGAGGTCATTTACAAAAGGTTTTCGAGGGTCGAAATCTTTGGAGTAGTGTGGACACCAGGCGTAGCAAAAGTTATTTTAAAATGTCTACATTAATCAGGATACATTTGAAAACAGTGTTTTCATTTGAATACGCTCCCTAGCATTTTCCCACACTATAGCATTAAATCACCTTACTGTGTATGGGTTAAAAGTACAAAAAGTTCACAAGATACACACAGAAATTAAGTTCTCATGTTCAAAGTGCTATTATTCTGCCACAATCTTTTTATTAGCAAAATATCACATCATTCAGTGTTGTGTCCAGGTGTCACTCAAAATTTGGTCTAAAACACAATTGTCATTATGTTTTGCCACCAGACTAGCCTGGAAATCCAGACCCAAATCTGACACGGTAACACACGGTCCTTACATGAAAACAGTCTCGACAAGTCGAACCACGAACGCCGTTCATACAGTTCAGCTCACTTGGCACGCCGTTCGTGGTTCGACTTTTTTTTTTTTTGCTCTGTGCCCTATATACTAGCTGTCACGGATCCAATCATCGATGATACCACCTCATCAATCTCAACTCAGCGCACCTGGCCCCGTTCATCATCGCCGGCATTCTAGCTCTTCCTGTACAAGCCCATTCACGAATCCTCTGGGGCTAAAGACTTTCCGGTGGCATTACGAGCCTTCAGGTATTGTGGAGTTTCTTTTCTTTGTTAAATAAAACATTGTCACTTCATGAAAATAAATCCCAGAGAACGGTGGACTAGGTACCAATGTGTTATTATAGCCAGCCCATTCTCACTCCCAAGGCGTCACTTAACTGACGCCTTGGGAAGCATTTGGACATGCTTCAATATCTCACGCTTTAGGCGCCCTTTAGCGTCAGTTAGATGACGCCCTAGGATCGCGTGTACCCTACCCCCACCCCACACCTAAACCTAACCGCGTCTTCTAACTGACGCTTTCCTTTAGCGTCAGTTAGATGACGCCGTAGGATCGCGTCATGTAAGTGACGTTAAAGGGCGCCTAAAACGTCAAATATTGAAGCATGGTCAAAGGTGATGCCTTGGGGTGAGAATGCGTTGTTATACCAAAGGTTAATTTTACGCCGAGTTCTCCTTTAAAGGTCTGGCATTGAGTAATGAAAAATCACCCAACTCGAAAGGCAGCACCAAACATGCATTTGAAAATTTCACTGGACGCAATTGGATAACACTACAACCCATCACAACAATACGCCCATACGCTTAGCTACCAGCTGAGCTAACTGGTTGATTAGACTCTATCCGGTCGGCAAAACAGCAAAAACTTCCTTCTTGCAAAGGAACGATTTGAGCGCTATCATCTGTTCATCTTTTGTATAAATAAGCCAATCTGGCTTGGATCTCGCGATGGTCACCGGTGATCGGTTCTGTGCAGATTTTGCTCATCTCAAACAAGCCTAATCATTACTCAATGCCAGAGTGACTTCAAATTGTGGTCTCGCAAGAAGTTTGGATTTCCAGGGTACCACTGGACAGCAAATTGGCTTTATGCACAGCTGCACTACTTCCTGAACTTCAGCCAGCTCCTTGTTTCCTGTCTGCCATTATTGGACAAATTGATTAATTCAGGTGCGCCTGACCTCAGTAGTCATGGCAACAATAATCAGACACACCTGAATTAATCAAGTTTGCTCAATAATGGCAGACAGGAAACAAGGAGCTGGCTGAAGTTCAGGAAGTAGTGCAGCTGTGCATAAAGCCAATTGTGAGTAATTTTTTGTCATCTTTGAATGTGATATAAAGACTACAAATGGACATTTCTCGTTAGCAACACAAATATGGACAGACCATTTTTTTGTTGCTGGAATCTTATCGACATGTATGTTAGGACACAGTGTTATATTCCAAAAATTGTGTTCAATAGAACTTAAATAGAAATTACCATAGACCGTATAGTTATTAGCTACCTGAAGAAACCATTTGATTGTCTATGATTTTTTGGCGGCGTGTATTGAAGCCCGTTTCCACCACAGTTGAGTAAAAAAATATAATTCTGTAAGTCATAATAATGAGAAACACTCTATTCTATTTTTATAATATGTCCAGTGTCCAACACACTTGCCTGTAACCATTCAGGTGTATGTGGTTTGTTTATTTATTGTTCTGTTCTTTATTAACCAAATATTTCGGTGGAATAAGCAAAAAACAATAGCACAAGACAGACACACACTCAATCACATCATGCAATCATACACTGCACCACGAGTCATGAATTGTTCAGTGTCTTGAGTAATGTAAAGTAAGGAATGCTTTCAGGTGCTCTAAATCTCACCCTGGTGGTTTTGATCTTGTTTCCGGAGTAGCACATCCAGCCGGAGTTATCTGGTAGAGTCTTGCATTCTTCTCCCTCCAGACACGGCTCCATCTCACACCACCACTTCCCAATCACTATAGAGGCTGCAAGCAGATCATAATTGAGTTAGACTCATCTGACTTAAAACAGGGTAAGGTTCCAGTCTCCATCCTCGACTGCTCCTTGTATCAGACAAATAAAATGTACATTTACATGTCTAAGGATGCTTTTCTAATCGCATCACTCCAAATGTTTTAGAATAGATTTTAAGACTAATTTAGACTAAGCAATTTATGCATGGTCTAAATTAAATTAAATTAACATTTCATCCAAAAATGGAAATTCTGTCATAACATGCACTCTCTTGGGTTCTTTCAAACCTGTATGATTTTCTTCTAAAGACGATATTGTCCACACATTGAAGTCAATAATGTGCAAAATTGTTTGGTTACCAACATTTTTCAACGTACGTATATAACTTTGTGTTTTGCTAAAGACAAAAAGTCATACAAGTTTGAAACAACATGAGCAAGATGACAGATATGATGATAACTAAATGATGACAGAATAAATAAAAAAATGGGTAAATTATTCCTTCAAATTAAATAACAAAAATGTGAATGAATGGATGGATAGACAGATAAATGAATGTACACTCTTAGGAAAAAAGTTAAATATTGTTCTATATAGAACCCTAGGTTCTTATAAGAACCCTTTTAGGCCATAACGTTTTAGATAAAGAGAATGTCTTAAATGATTGCATATGTTCATGTTTATTGAGTTATAAATTTAAGGTATGTTTGAGCTGTTTAATAAATAAATAAATAAATAAATAAGAATGTACATAAGAATGAATAAAAAATACAATCAAATAATATTAAACCCATAAATTGATCCCATTTGAACCCCTAAAATGTTCTAAATGATGCACCTGACATAACCCTAATACATTTGTTTTTCATATAGATCCTTTCCAAACTAAATGTCAGAATGGGAAAAAAAGCTGATTTAAGCAATTTTGAGCGTGGCATGGTTGCTGGTGCCAGACAGGCCAGTCTGAGTATTTCACAATCTGCTCAGTTATTGGGATTTTCATGCACAACCATTTCTAGGGTTTACAAAGAATGGTGTGAAAAGGGAAAAAGATCCAGTATGCGGCAGTTCTGTGGGTGAAAATAGGAGAATGGGCCGACTGATTCAAGCTGATAGAAGAGCAACTTTGGCTGAAATGACAACTCGTTACAACCGAGGTGTGCAGCAAAGCATTTGTGAAGCCATCACCACCACCATTACAACACCACAATAATATGTGTTTTGTCATAAGAAAGGATGGCTTCCTCCAGCAGAGTCTGGTTCCTCTCAACAATGTTTTTTTCCATCTTAAAGATTTTATCCACTTTTTGTTCATGCCACAGACTTTGGCTTGTTCATTGGGGCTTTAATGTACAATTTTCTATAAAACTGCTGTGAAACGATATGTTGTGAAAGGCGCTATACAAATAAAATTGACTTGACTGTGCTTGAAAAGCCCAAGTGGATGTCTGCAGTCAGTAGGAGCAGAGCCTTTTCACAGAGTGGCATTTTATGAAAGGTATATTATTCTGAAATAAAATCCTATGCTGAAATTTTTTACTTAAATAACCTGTAGTCTTTGGAATTTTTCGGGGGAAAAAAATGTATGGTCCATGTACATAATGGTGGTAAATCTTCTGACATTACAATGAAAAGTTTGACGTCATTTCAGTTAATTGAGAGAAAAGCATTCTTGAAAACTATCAATTTTTCCCACTTTACAAAATTGATGATAATTACCAAATGGAGACCAAGTAGGGACCATTACGAAAGCAGGTGCTGAGGAGGTAGAGAACATCTTATATTGGCATCACAATGATTATATTAAAATATGATACATTAATGCATCACTGTAATGCTGTCACCTTGCATTGAACACCAAACGTTTCAGGAGAGAGTATTACTAATTCCTGAAATGGTTTGTATAAGGACGTTTTTGTGTTATTAATATTCTGACAAATACTCAAAGTTTGGGACTTACACCATTTCCGAGATAACGGCACTGAACTTAAGACATATTCATTAATATTGCAAAACCCAAAAGCACTCAACCAATAGTTGTCTCTTTTTGCGAATAGGCCTTTAAATTTTTATTTGTCTATGCTCAACACTTTCTCCAAGGATATTTTAAAAGAGTGAATGACCATTCAAGCTTTATAGACTTTGCTCATGTACAATAGTCACAACGCTGCATGGATGAGACAAATCTTACACTGATCTGGCTACATGCAGAGCAATAAAATCAATGGAAAACAACCTCAGGCAAGGGCTCTGTGTTTTGATTAAAATTCACTTTACTAGGTCTCTTATCCTCCATAAAGTAAACAAAACATCTCATACACAACATGCAACCTTCAATGTCATGTACTCCTTTGACAGAGAGATAGCCTTCAGCCTCATATCCTAGAATATCAATATGGATGAGAAGAGATAAAGAGAAAACAGACCAGTTTTAATGGCCACTATCTCAGTAAATGTGTTCAGTAAATTTAAACCACAATCACCGCTAAAATATTCTACTTTAATAAATGTTACTGCTGCAAGACCATAATAAGATGAAATATTTAGTAAATGAATGTAAATAGACCTAAGTATAAAAAGATAAAGAAATGTGATTTCAACACATACATAAAATATTATTATTACATCAGTTCATAGTGCTGCAAGACCAAAATATATGTATATGGGATTTCCTCACAAAGTGGTGGACGCTTCCAGAATCTTTCTGTCAGGTAAAACAGCAACAACATGAAGTACTAGTAACTGAAGATGGTTTTGGACCAAACCTCTGTATTTTCCCCCAGTTGCTTTAGAAAAATAAAGTTTTTTTTTCTTTTTCAGAGTGCAGACCATCCTTGTGTATTTTGGTAAAATAACAATACACATGCACCAACACTTGAAGTAACTTCCAAACACAGGGCCTATGGACTGCCTCTGGACTTTACTAGTCCTCTACAGAATAGACAACACATTGCAGTCTGAAAACATGGAAAAGGTAACTGTCTTTGTTTCTAATGATGCTGCTGTCTTGTTGTTGTCAACTTTCATGCATTTGTCTTTCCCCACCCAGACACTATTTATTAAAAAAATATTTAATACAGAATCCTAAACTATGGTTTCAGATGAAGATAAGGCTAAATATGTTGTAAATATGTAAAACTGGGATTTTCACACACCCACCTCTAAGGTTTAAGGACTAGAGAATGGTCCAAAAAAAGAGAAAATATCCAGTTAGCAGTATTTCTCATTGCCTTGCTGATGCCAGAGGTCAGAGGAGAATGGCCAGACTGGCTCGAGCTGATAGAAAGGCAACAGTAACTCAAATGATCACTCGTTACAACCGAGGTCTGCAGAAGAGCATCTCTGAACGCACAACACAACAAACCTTGAAGCACACACAAGACTCCAGCAGCAGAAGACCACTCGGGTGTCAATCCTGTCAGCTAAGAACAGGAACCTGCAGGCCATGATTCAAACAGGCTCACCAAAATTAACAGTGGAAAATTGGAAAAATGTTGCCTGGTCTGATGAGTCTCAATTTCTGCTGCGACACTTAGATGGTAGAGTCAGAATTTGGGATAAACAACATGAAAGCATGGATCCATCCTGACTTGCACCAACGGTTCAGGCTGGTTGTGGTGTAATGGTGTGGGGGATATTTTCTTGCCACAGGTAAACACCACAGCCTACTTGAGAATTGTGGCTGACCATGTCCATCCCTTTGGCTTTATGACCATAGTGTATCGTCTTCCGATGGCTACTTCCAGCAGGATAACACACGTAGCAAAGCTCAAATCAACTCAAATTGGTTTCTTGAACATGACACTGAGTTCTCTATGCTCAAATGGTCTCCACAGTCACCAGATCTCAGTCCAATAAATCACCTTTGAGATGTGGGGGAACGGGAGATTTATATCATGGATGTGGAGCTAACAATCGGTCTTTGTCCGACACGTGTGTTTGCTGTGTGTGACGTCACCGTGGCGCCATTTTTGAGGTATCGCTACTGACTGTGAGCATTGAAGAGATTACGAAAGTAGAGATTACAAGTAAATAACTCGCAAAACTGCAGAAGCAAAAGAAAACTGAGAAAATGCCGTACCGCGATAAACTCAATAAATATGGCAGGTACCGTTTTTTGGAGAAATTGTCATCCATTCAGAACATAGATCCACATATGAGCTCAGCTGACTGCAGTAAATTGGAGTACTGATCCCGTAATACTTTCTTATCCTCATACTTGGGCATTGTCAACTATCTTGTTTATTGTATAAGTGCACATATATGTGCATATATGTACCAGACCAGATATTAGCTAGATAGACAAAGCCGAAAACACATGACTTACTGTAGTAGCTGCTAAACATGTCCTGAGATACCTAAAAGGTAAAGCTGACTATGAGCTGTGTTTCAAGAAAACAGACAAGACTAATAGCATTCAGTGATTCTGACTTCTGTAGAAGATAGGCATAGCACATCAGGATACTGTTTCAGCCTGACAGAACAAGGATTTCATGGAAATCTATAAGAAACAGCCAACAGTGGCACTGTCGACCTACAAAGCTGAATATATTGGTCAAGCAAACACTACTCAGGAAAGCCTGTACCTAACTCAACTGCTAATGACAGTAGTTTTTACACTTGCACCACAATGTATGGTGATAATAAGGGAGAGTAGAAATCCAGTGAATAAATCTAGATCTAAACACATTGATGTGAAATATTACTTTATCTGTGATGCTGTCAGTGAAGGAAAAATAAATATTGTGTACTGCACAACAGAAGATGTGGTGGCAGACATTTTGACAAAATCTGTATCAAAAATTTAAATTCTAAAGTTCAAAAGTTTTCTGTTTGGGAACTAAATATTTGTGATGACATTGTACATGGCTTAAGATGATGAGAACAAGTGGGGGTGTTGAGTTATGTTCTCATTTATGTTATGTTATGTTGCTTTCTATCATTGTTTTTTTTTATTTTTTTAGACTATGCTACAGACTGTTGTACGCCAAAAATGTGCAAGACTTCATTGTGCGCATGTGCAAACAAATGAAAGACATCATCTTTAAGAAAAGAATAATCTAATGAGCTTTACTTAGGGAAAAGGTTGGATGCTCCTCCACGAGATGCGGTCAAAGTTAATGTTCTTTGATTATCTTGGGGTGCGTTGCGAGTGAGATGTTCTCCCAGAAGTGTTAGTTTACAGCAGCTCGTTTGTCATAAGGACAGAGCATTAATAATGAAAAGCCCTGAGGATCTGAGCTTTTCTAGGGCAGGGACACTGCAAGAGCGACCCTGAACAGAGTTTCTTCCAACATACCACACCTTAAAAAAAGCTGTACAATCTTTTGGAGCACCTTGCAGGTTTACACAGCTGCGCAGAGTGTGTTTAAGTACAGCTGCACTGTGCAAGCCTGTTCAACCACTGCACAGCTGCACTAAGATGGTTTGAAACAGTCAGCATCTGTTACATTTAACATAACACATACGCACCTAAGATGAAAGGTGACTTGTGCCATGTCTCTTCACCTACCGTCAACACAGGAGGGTTTATTCCTGGTGGTTCCTGCTACTTTCCCTGGTAAACAGGAGCACTTCACGGTCTGAGATCTCTCTTCTATTTTGTTTTTGTTACAGCACCTGTGGGCCGCAATCACCTCGCATGTCCCTCCTTCTGTCGAAAGACAAAGCCATTAGTAAACAAACAAAAACTCCTGACTCGCCACGTGGATCTACATTTACAATCATTATCTCATGCATGTCATCTTTCATGGTCCCCTTAAAACTGCCACATAATACATCATGGATTTCAATTTAGACAGCACAGTCACTCCTTAGGGAGGACGAGGCACTGCTTTAGAAGCAGAGGAGAAGAGAAAGAGGGAGATGTATATAAGAGAAAAGACACATTTTTTCAGTTACATTTTAGATGTAAATTATATATTTTTCCTATATTACTTTTTATTTTTCCTGTGTCCCTTTATTTTATTATTCCTTTTGTTCCCATTTAAATTTCCCTTTTTATTATTTTTACTTGTCCCCTTTTCTATCTATCTATCTATCTATCTATCTATCTATCTATCTATCTATCTATCTATCTATCTATCTATCTATCTATCTATCTATCTATCTATCTATCTATCTATCTATTTGTCTGTCTGTCTGTCTGTCTGTCTGTCTGTCTATCTATCTATCTATCTATCTATCTATCTATCTATCTATCTATCTATCTATCTATCTATCTATCTATCTATCTATCTATCTATCTATCTATCTATCTAGTATTAACTTTATTTTATTATTGTTTTTATTTACTCATTGTCCCATTTTTTTTTACTCCCAGTCAGTTTATTTTTCATTTCATGTTCCTGTTCATGCACGAGTAGCCTACTTTACTGTAACAATGAGTGACCTGGAATGAACCAAAGTCTTTAAAGGATGATGACCTGTAAGTTCCTTTCCGTTACAGTAAATGAGATCATGTACCAAACAAATTCAGCCTTTAGACATAGAAATCTCTGATAAAGATAGACAATCTTCAGTTCATTGGACATTCTTCTCTGAATACTGGCAATATTCTGTAGCCTAGTGATCTGTTAGAATAACAACATCTATTAAGATGACCTTGAATTTACAAAGATAAATACACAGTAGCAAAGTGATGACTCAGAAACAGATTTGTGTACCAGGTGAATCAAATCAATTTTTTTCTGACAAGACCCAGACCACATCAGTTCAACTATTGTTTAGGTATATATCCGTAGGCACACAACACCCACAGATAGTTCATCTAAAATGGAAAATTATGTAATTATTATTAAACTCACTTTAATTTAGTTCCAACCCCATTTGCTTTCACTCATCTATGGAAAAACGTATATTATTTCCATTATTATCCTGCTCTCTTAAATTATCTTAGATTATATCTTACTGTAAATTAAAAAAAAATAGCCTAGTGTAAATTAAAAAATTAAATTATCTCTTAAAAAATTATCTCTTAAATTATCTATTAATTTAAGTTATCAAGAAAGTAGCCTACTTCATATGACTTGTTCATCATATTCGTCTTATGAAATCAAACAATACAAATTTAGGCCTATGTGTGGACTGAAATTTACAGTAAATAACTATTCACTGAATGTGTATCTCCTATGGTATCTCCCCGTATAGCCTGCATTCCTTTTACTGTCTATGCTGCATTCACGAGACAAGCAAGAAAAATTTTCTGAATCTGAATTTTGAGTGAATCGTTCTCTTCATTGAGTCAGTTGATTCAGTTCACAAAGCCAGTCTAAATGATTCATTCACTGACTGATGCATTCGCAAATTTCACTCGTAAAGATCCGGGAGAAGAAAGTAACACAAACATCAGTCTGCACAAAGTATATCGCATGTCTTCAGATGAAGTGGAATATAGCCCAGGATTAATAGATCACTTTTATGGTGCTATGGTTATTTTTATTGCATGGAAAACCGTGAACACGATGGAAGTTTTTTTTCCGTCGTTGGTGTTTGAAGTCACGTGACGTGGGTTGGAAACAACATTGTGATGGTAAGTTAATATTATTATTATTTATTTTTTGCTAGTAAAGTGAACTGATTTTTTAACTTTAGCTCTAGCAAACTAGCAAGCTGATATTTTAATGGCTAACCTTACCCAGTTGCGCATCTGCAAAATAGCACAGTCTTTCGTATTACACTACGCAATGAGAAATTGAAAATGAACCGTCTTTGCTTTAAGAAAAAGTGCTTTCCAGTCTAGTCTTCAAATGGGTCAACAATGGCATAAGTTTTACCTGACTGGCTTCTAACAAAAGTTCCAGTCATGGCCAGTTTGGCTTCAATAGGCAAATATCACTGTGGAAATCAGGAAACAATAAAGCTACACTAGAACTGTTGTGGATGGTTGAGTAGGCCTTGTTTGTGCTTCTATTATGAAAAATACTCCATTCCCCAGTGGTGCTTCAGTCAGAATTCATAGGGGTTTGTTTTCTGTAATGCCTAGTCTTAATTACACAAGACACATCCAGTTTCCTCTTTGATCTATCAAGAGAAGAAGAAAATGCTGGAGCTCCTGACTAAAATATCTTGACTCCTCATTGAGCGTAAACAGAGCAGTGGGACTCTCGTTTGGGGATTAGAAAAGAGTGGAGGAAAAAAAAGTTAAATGCACTTTCAAAAATCAATAAAAATGTAAATAGCTTCTCTGTCTCCAGCTTCTTAGGCTCTCATTACCTCTAGATTGAAGTTAGTCAAAGCATGAGGGGAAAGACACAGAAAAGAAGACAGGAACAGAGAGCTGGCTGTCGACTGTTAACAGCACATCAGAATATTTTCGAGCTCTTCTGAATATTTAAGCAGGTGACAGTGGACAGCTCAGATCCATGCAGGGACGTGATTGCTTTTTGTATTCTGTCACTTCGTGCGACTCACTAGAAATTGATTGCTGAACCTCAGGGGCTTAACGTTATCTCGTATAGGCCTCCGTGTGGCTCCTTCCTGTTCAACATATGAAACAGAGGGTCAGAGGACTTTTAAATCTCTGGTAAAGCACTGTCAATCAGCTTTCATTAAACGGACCGTGGGTGTGTGTGTGGGCGGGTCGATAAGTGTGTACATATACAGTGCACTGGGGTTCAAAAGTCTGAGACCACTTGTGAAAGGCAAATTTCCCCTTACAATTTCTTAAATACTTGGTTTATTTGTCTTTTGGATGATTTAATAAAGACTCCAAAGATGATCTTAAGCTTCAGTGGAAGATTAATTCACTGTCTGTATAAAGTCACATGTTTACTTAATTAAGATTATGCATTACTTCTAGGTCCCCAATTAAATAGGCTTTGCCTTATTCATTTTATGTCATAACGTAGGGCTGCACTATTTGACTGCAATATTACAACACTAATATTCATGTTTTTTAAATTCATTTTCAAACATTTAAAACTATAAGCACTTCTCATTACAATTTTTGGAAGATGGTTGATGCATGTTGCATTGTGTGAAAGTGATCCAAACTCAGCATTGACTGTTAACTGAGCGACTCTGAGACGTTAAAAACACCATATCTAGCCTGGTTAAAACCAGACAATTCTCAGTTGTAACTGAGATATGGTCTGGCTAGGCATCATAGACAAATCATTTCCAGAGGGGCGTCACCAACGGACGTCGTGGTTAGACCTAAAACCAATCAGAGCGATGAAGGAGATGACGTTTGCAGAGCGGCGGCTGGCGGCGATACATCTCCGAGTGTTGTTCTTTGCTCGGATTTTAACAAAAAGGAATCTTTCAAATCGCTTAAAAACAGACGCGATAGCTGATTCGAGCTAGTGATGTTCGACGGTGGCGTCCATCTTTGTAATGTAGGCTACAAAATCTGATTCAAAATCCCAGCGCTGTCGTCACAGTGTAAAGCCCGCCCCAACGTTTCTGATTGGTGCCGCGATTTCTGCGGACTGGAAATGGGTTTGAATGAGCTCTTTGCCAGACTAACTTTCAGAGCAAATCTAAATTTGCCGGAAGTTGTCTGGGTTTTCCAGATCATGATGTCTGCGCATGTAAAACAGCACAGTGCCATTCTTCACTCTGAAAGACGCTGTGCATATATTTAATGAAATCACGGCCTTTGCGATATAATAATTGCACTAAGCCAAATCGTGATTTCAGTTTATTTTTGATTAATTGTGCAACCTAATCTCTATTTGTCCTAAAATGGTTTATTACCAGATTTGAATTAGATTCCCTTAGGCTCAAACTTTTGGACTCTACTGTATACCGTAAACCAGACTACAATACTTACAGTACCATTCTCCAATTTCATTTTTCTTTTCTAGTTTTTTTAATATCAAATTTATATCTGAAATTAGATCCGGTATCTATTTGAACGGAAGAAAAGCAGGCAAGCACTTTGCTGCTGTAATGTCCACTAACCTCTGCAGGAATGACTCAAAAACATCCCGAAAATTACATTTAAAAGTCTTGCGTATAATTCCATTAAATGTTAATGACTAAGCAAACTTAGAAAACCTACAGAGTATCACCGAATGGTGCTGAATTTCATATTTTTAAAAGACATAGCATAAGGTCACCCTGAGGGAGTGTGGGCTACCGCTGATTGATCTAGCCGATTCTAGCGGATGCACTGATAGCTTCTGTGGTAGGGAATCCTGCATCATACTGCTTACTACAAGGGCTATTTCAGGCACTTATTCAGTTTAATGGATATGAGACCCGGCCATCGGGGACCAATATAGGCTCATTTTCCTGTAGCAGTCACGGTGCGGAGAGAGAAAAATAGGCAGTGTATTACACACGGGCTATAACTTTGACTCTTCTGCTGTCTAATTAGCCAGCTGGAGTGTGTGTGTGTCGTGTCTGTCTGTCTGGAGAAGGCGTAGTGTGTGCATTCGGCCTCAATTGTTCCATTCATCCGCAACCATCTGTGTGAGAGTTTTCCCTGACAGGCAGGTTATATCACAACCCCTCAACAGCAAACAAACACACTTTCAGAGGACAAACAAACAGTGACAGATGAGCAGGCACAATGGACCTCTGCCTATGTGCACATGAGCCTGGACAGGAAACATTTCATACTGCAAAAAAGCTAGAAGGGAAACGGGTTGACGTAAGGAGGAGATAGTCTGGGTGAGGACACAGAAAAGCTGCACACTGAAAGCA